CCAGCTCGTCCGACCCCAAGGCGTTCCCAGGCCAGCTGAGAGACATAGTCCCTCTGTGTCCTGGGTCTTCCCCATAGACTTCCCCGGGGCCTATAAATAAACAGAAAATAGATTCTAAAGTACATTTGTGCCTGTGTGGGTTGTGTTCTTGCTTTAGAATATTTCAGAAGAGATTCAGGGAAAGAAGCAATTTTTGAAAGAACGATTTTATAGACATTAAATTGTCTAACCCTAAATGTGTTGATACTGTCACCACTTCTAGACACTTTTTTTTATGATAATAGCAACTGTGACGCTCTAATGTTTGCCTGAAACAAGCAAACAATTACAAATAAATGTGGAAGAAGTTTTTGGACCGATCTTGTTCCATTGTGGATTAACAGAATTATAGAGAAATTGGCTCCAAACCAAGACTAGAATCTGATTTTTGACACAGATTTCACAGCTGCCCTGAACCACAAGGATCTTATAGACTCCTTACAGCTGTGTGACCTGTTAAGCCAATATAGATCATTTAGAATCTTTTTTAGAGGCGGACCAACTCTGAAACTACATGACAACCTCCACATGTTTCTCCGAGCAGCTCAGTGTTTTACCGTTTGACACTTTGACCTGAGTGTAACCTACTAGCTCGGTGATTGGTTATGAATATGAGTTTGTCTCCTCTCTGTGGCGGTGAGGTTTTACGTGTGTGAAAGAGGTGCCTCGGTTAATCCTCCTGAATTAGATCTATCCCAGATTACCGCAAAGGTCACGCAACTCTGAGACCTTTCAGCAACTCAGCACAAACACACGCTAATCTGAGACTGTTGAAATGAGAACGTACAAAACCATTGCAGACAGAACCCAACCTCTTCACAAACTCCATTAAAAGGACAAATATTGGGAGTCATCGTTTTGTTTTGGGTCGTCCATCACGATCCTGGGTTCATTTTCTTTGGCGTTTCAGGATCTGAAGAGGATTGATGGACTAAAAATGGAACAAAACCAAGAAAGCATCTATCATTTATGCATTTATAAAAACTCTTTCAGTCAGTATTTCTCACAGGGAGCAATGAATGACAATGCTTTGCTGTCATTAATCAAACCGCTCCACTTGGGAGGTAGATCTCTGCTCACTGGGTGCCTGATAGATAGATACAGAAGATAAGGCCATTAAAATATGACCAATCATCAAATTCTGCCTCTGCTGGTGTATTACACAAACAGGAAGTGACTAGCCCTGCTCCCAATAGTAGTTGCTATGAGGTTGCTATGTAGGAATTTGGCTTCCCACCTGCCCATTGGCTGTGGCAGAGCTAGCTCAAACAAGCTAATTCCGCTAGGTGAGGTCACAGAAACGGACGTGTCAGAGGAGTTAGTGTAAAAGAACCAACAACAGGTTTGGTTTAACACTTTTTCATTTCAATTTCAATTTTCAAATTTCAGAAAATCTGGTTTCTTTGCACTTTTAATTCATATATTTTCTCATTCAAACCCAATTGTGAGGTCGATCCCTCTTCACTGGTTTCTGGATACATAGATACATACATACATGATAGATGATACATAGATAGATAGATGGAGCCACTAAAATCGGACAAAGCAGATGCCTTCCATTCTCAAATACTGACTCAACTAGTGAATAGTGTAAGCAGGAATGGACTAGCCTTGCTCCTGATTGGTTCTGTAGTTGGTTGCTATGTAGATGGATAAACAAATAGAGTAGAAATGGCCACAAAATTATACTAGCGAATTGCCCATGAAGGAATGGACGTGTCACGGATAAACAAGGAAGAACTGCTAAAATAATATAATTTAATACATGAAGAAGATAAATCCAAAAGCAAAATCCAGAAACAACAATAGGACAGGAGAACAGGGTCTAAATACACACAGGTGCAGACGCAGGCGCAGACGCAGGCGCAGACGCAGACGCAGGCGCAGGCGCAGACGCAGACGCAGGCGCAGGCGCAGGTGCAGAAGCAGACGCAGACGCAGGCGCAGACGCAGGCGCAGGCGCTGACACAGGCGCTGACACAGGCGCAGACGCAGGCGCAGGTGCAGACGCAGGCGCAGACGCAGGCGCAGACGCAGGTGCAGCACATCAGGGCAGAGCAAACAATCAACAAGACAGACAGGAAGTTAGACTCACAACAAGAGAACATATCAAAATAAAACCAGATACATAAACAGGAAGTCCTCACCGTGACAGGACTAGCCTTGCTTCTGATTGGTTGTGTAGTTGCTATGAAGTTTCCATGTAAGAATTCTGTCTCCGGTTTCTTGGGCCGAGTGGAGTTAGCCAAAAAGATTACAGCTGCTGTACTTTTGTCCCGAAGTCACCTCCACCTCCGATAACAAAAGCAAACTCTAATTCCCCCAGCTCCGTGTAGCTCCGTGTGGCTCCGTGTGGCTCCGTGTAGCTCCGTGTGGCTCCGTGTGGCTCCGTGTGGCTCCGTGTGGCTCCGTGTGACTCTGTATGGCTCTGTGTGGCTCTGTATGGCTCCGTGTGACTCCGTGTGGCTCTCTATGGCTCTCTATGGCTCCGTGTGGCTCTGTATGGCTCTGTGTGACTCTGTATGGCTCTGTGTGGCTCTGTATGGCTCCGTGTGACTCCGTGTGGCTCTGTATGGCTCTGTATGGCTCTGTATGGCTCCGTGTGGCTCTGTATGGCTCTGTGTGACTCTGTGTGGCTCCGTGTGACTCCGTGTGGCTCTGTATGGCTCCGTGTGACGCCGTGTGGCTCTGTATGGCTCTGTATGGCTCCGTGTGGCTCTGTATGGCTCTGTGTGACTCTGTGTGGCTCCGTGTAGTCCTCTCTGGTTCTCACTCCCCACCGGGCGCCTCATTCTGGTCCTTTATGCCTGGCTCCTTCTCTGTCTTCGCTGCAGATTCAAGACGGAGAAGTTTAGGGAGAACATTTTATCTGTGGATTGGGAACGCAGACGATAAGAGTTGGTTTTAGGAGGCCGAGGTTTCTGCTGCTGCGCTGGAGATCGGCGAAGGACAGATAGAGACGACAAAAGCTAAAGCGGTTTTTGATTCATGAGAGTCTGGGATTGGACTAAGGCACAGTTATAGGGACATTTAAGATGTGGCTGCTGTTTTTTTTTTAATGTTACTGGTTGGAATGCATTGTATCACCTGTCTGTGAGCTGCACGGGTTCGAATCCCGGTCGGAACAGGGCTTTTCTGAGTGGAGTTTGCATGTTCTCCCTGTGTCTGTGTAGGTTTCTTCTACCACTAAAAACATGTAACAGGTCTGAATGGAATGAGTGAATGGATGGTGTTTGGTCGGAGGCTTTGATGGACCGGTGTGTTATAAAGTGCTTTGGGTGACCTTGGTCTGTAAAAATGTGCTAAATAAGGATTACTTACTTACTTGCTACAAATAGTAGTCCTCTATCTCTCGTAAGGTTTCAAGGCTCCCCCTTTTGTCTGTTTCAAATTGCATTTCTGAAAAACTAGCGTTATGTTATGCCTTTTGTGATATGGGCTGTGAAGCACTTACAAATGTATCTTATGTAGGAAAAGCTGTCTACAAATAAGGATAGATTGATAATAAATAGTGTGTCTTTTTGCCGTCTGTCTTCAGGATAGCCACTTCAGCAGCTTCGTGGACGAGCTGACCGAGTTTTCCACCAAGAACATCCTGGCGGTGCCCATCATGAACGGCAAAGACATGGTCGCCGTGATGATGGCCGTCAACAAGCTGGACGAGCCGCACTTCAGCCAAAAAGACGAAGAAGTAAGAGCTCGTCCGGTCCTTGGTTTGAGAGATGATTACACAGCGCTGTGTAATCGGAGGTGTTAGTCTTATGATATGCTACATTTCTGCTGATTTCACTATTAGACGTTTAATACAACTTTAAGTACTTTTAAAGTTACGTTGTCTGTCTCTGAGTCTTCGGTCACGGCAACATGTAGAATCCTGAAGGTGAGATCATAGTCCTAATAACTCTATTTCTTATTAGAAATTCCATTTCATTTGTTAAGATTCAAACCATATCCAGGCTGACTGGAGTAAAAATAGCGTTGAAGAAAATAATATATCAGATTTTAGTTTAGTTGCAACAAATGCATTTTTAATAATACTTTTAAGGGAGAATTTGCTTGTTGTTGATATTTTTTAGTAAAACAATACAAATGAGACAGTATGAATAATTACTCAACCTCAAGCACTTTCACTTTTATTTGTATGATTTTTTTAACAGTTACAATTTGTGATATGTTTTGTTTTCATTACCCGAGTTTATGATCAATTGTGTTCCAACAAATATATCAATAAACAAGAGTTGTAGGAGAAAACAGGATGAAGGCTTCTTATGCTAACGTCATGCTAATGTTATAGTAACGTCATGCTAATGTTATGCTAACGTCATGCTAACGTCTTGCAAACAGTTATTTTATTTGTCATTAACCATGCTAAGATAATATTAACAACTTTTAAAACACATAAGAGGGCAGATACGTGTTGTAGAAGTGGTAATGTTGTAAAATAAAGATGATATTTTGTCATTTTGTTTACGGTTAGCTTTAGCTTTAGCCTGTAGCCACTTCAGTCAGCCCCACAGGAGGAGGCATCTTTTTTACCCTCTCCGAGCTGTGATGCTAAGCTAAGGCCTGACTCTTTCTGCTGTAAATCCACTAAACAGCAGCTTCATCACTGCACAAGCTAAACTTTCTTTATTTCTGTATTTTTCAGACTCTGAACAAATACCTGAACTTTGCTAACCTGCTTCTGAGGGTTTTCCACCTGAGCTACCTGCACAGCTGTGAGACCAGACGCGGACAGGTACAATGCTTTAATGCTTTAATTACGTTTTACAAATTTAAAATGCTTTAATGCCGTTTTACCATCGCAAACACCATATTTCTCAGTGTAGAGGCCTAAAAACCTTTTATTTAATCAGGCCTATTAGTTATTTTATTAGCTTTATGTTTCTTTCTGATGTATGTATGTACTTCTGATGCTTTTGCCTTGTTTTGTTTGTTTGTGGTATTGTATCTTGAGTTTTCCTGGAAATGTAAGGAGCTATGTAAATGAAATGTATTATTATTATTATTATTATCATAGGTGCTGCTGTGGTCGGCCAGCAAAGTGTTTGAGGAGATAACGGACATCGAGAGACAGTTTCACAAAGCGCTGTACACGGTCCGCGCCTTTTTAAACTGCGACCGCTACTCTGTGGGTCTGCTGGACATGACCAAGACCAAGGTAACTGTGTGGGGGGTCTGCTGGACATGACCAAGACCAAGGTAACTGTGTGGGTCTGCTGGACATGACCAAGACCAAGGTAACTGTGTGGGGGGTCTGCTGGACATGACCAAGACCAAGGTAACTGTGGGGGGTCTGCTGGACATGACCAAGACCAAGGTAACTGTGTGGGTCTGCTGGACATGACCAAGACCAAGGTAACTGTGTGGGTGGTCTGCTGGACATGACCAAGACCAAGGTAACTGTGTGGGTCTGCTGGACATGACCAAGACTAAGGTAACTGTGTGGGTCTGCTGGACATGACCAAGACTAAGGTAACTGTGTGGGTCTGCTGGACATGACCAAGACCAAGGTAACTGTGTGGGTCTGCTGGACATGACCAAGACTAAGGTAACTCTGTGGGTCTGCTGGACATGACCAAGACCAAGGTAACTGTGTGGGTCTGCTGGACATGACCAAGACCAAAGTAACTGTGTGGGTCTGCTGGACATGACCAAGACCAAGGTAACTGTGTGGGTGGTCTGCTGGACATGACCAAGACTAAGGTAACTCTGTGGGTCTGCTGGACATGACCAAGACTAAGGTAACTCTGTGGGTCTGCTGGACATGACCAAGACCAAGGTAACTGTGTGGGTCTGCTGGACATGACCAAGACCAAGGTAACTGTGTGGGTCTGCTGGACATGACCAAGACCAAGGTAACTGTGTGGGTGGTCTGCTGGACATGACCAAGACTAAGGTAACTCTGTGGGTCTGCTGGACATGACCAAGACCAAGGTAACTGTGTGGGTCTGCTGGACATGACCAAGACCAAGGTAACTGTGTGGGTCTGCTGGACATGACCAAGACCAAGGTAACTGTGTGGGTCTGCTGGACATGACCAAGACTAAGGTAACTGTGTGGGTCTGCTGGACATGACCAAGACCAAGGTAACTGTGTGGGTCTGCTGGACATGACCAAGACCAAGGTAACTGTGTGGGTGGTCTGCTGGACATGACCAAGACTAAGGTAACTGTGTGGGTCTGCTGGACATGACCAAGACTAAGGTAACTGTGTGGGTCTGCTGGACATGACCAAGACCAAGGTAACTGTGTGGGTCTGCTGGACATGACCAAGACCAAGGTAACTGTGTGGGTCTGCTGGACATGACCAAGACCAAGGTAACTGTGTGGGTCTGCTGGACATGACCAAGACCAAGGTAACTGTGTGGGTCTGCTGGACATGACCAAGACTAAGGTAACTCTGTGGGTCTGCTGGACATGACCAAGACCAAGGTAACTGTGTGGGTCTGCTGGACATGACCAAGACCAAGGTAACTGTGTGGGGGGTCTGCTGGACATGACCAAGACCAAGGTAACTGTGTGGGTCTGCTGGACATGACCAAGACTAAGGTAACTGTGTGGGTCTGCTGGACATGACCAAGACTAAGGTAACTGTGTGGGTCTGCTGGACATGACCAAGACCAAAGTAACTGTGTGGGTCTGCTGGACATGACCAAGACCAAGGTAACTGTGTGGGTGGTCTGCTGGACATGACCAAGACCAAGGTAACTGTGTGGGGGGTCTGCTGGACATGACCAAGACCAAGGTAACTGTGTGGGTCTGCTGGACATGACCAAGACCAAGGTAACTGTGTGGGTCTGCTGGACATGACCAAGACCAAGGTAACTGTGTGGGTCTGCTGGACATGACCAAGACCAAGGTAACTGTGTGGGTCTGCTGGACATGACCAAGACCAAGGTAACTGTGTGGGGGGTCTGCTGGACATGACCAAGACCAAGGTAACTCTGTGGGTCTGCTGGACATGACCAAGACCAAGGTAACTGTGTGGGTGGTCTGCTGGACATGACCAAAACTAAGGTAACTCGCTAATATGACACATGCCAAAACTACACACACACACACACACACACACACACACACACACACACACACACACACACACCAACGTTAACGTTTAAGACTTCAGACTTGTGACTACCCTAAACACAGTTGTGACTGTGTTTAGGGTAGTCACAACCCTCGGTGACATAACAGGAAGAGAACTATGAATGCCTGAAAAACTGGAATTACCTTTAGCTAGTGTTTAGCATTTAGCCTAGCTTTAGCATTTAGCCTAGCTTTAGCATGTAGCCTAGCTTTAGCCATCTCCTTTGTCACTAACGGAGCCCGTGGGGAGTAGAGCCACAACATCTTTGCTTCAATGACATTTACTAAACATTCCTCTTGCTCCGGCTTCAGTTTCTTGATATTTGGATTGAACCAGAACAGATTATTTTACTATCGCATTCTCCATGGTCCAGAGTTTACACATGGTAAGACCAGACGTACATGTAGGAAATGATCATGGACCAGAGTTTACACATGGTAAGACCAGACGTACATGTAGGAGATGATCATGGACCAGAGTTTACACATGGTAAGACCAGACGTACATGTAGGAGATGATCATGGACCAGAGTTTACACATGGTAAGACCAGACGTACATGTAGGACATGATCATGGACCAGAGTTTACACATGGTAAGGCCAGGCTCGTTTATGGGCCGAAATAATCACAAATAACACATAATATTTGTTCTTTCTCTTCTCGAGCTCTGTCCAACTCTTTACCTTCGGTCGCTGCTTCCAGACAAATGAGTTCTTGTTGGCAGCGATAATTATCTTCTGGTTTTTGAAGCAGTTTTTTCAGTATCGCATCATTCTCTCTTTAAACAAACAAATTCTCTCTGATATTGTGCAAAACCGTCTTTGATCCTGAGAATCTCGTCACATCTGTCGCTCTGTAGAGAAGCACATGAGTCTGGGTTTACAACAGACGCACTTTGAAACTGCATCAGCTTTGAACTCTGTCTTTGTAGATCTGTTTGGGGAGAATATTAGGACCAATACTGAGGCTGGGTCGTTCGCGGGAAACAGGGACGGAGCAATGGCGAGAATAAATATGGCTCAAAAAAATGGAAAGCTTCAGGAACTTCAAAGGGGAAATTTTGTGGACGTGATTTAGAATTTGACCAGAAAAGATGATGATAAAGATATTCAAGAGTTCAAATAAACAATATTTCATTCTCTTAACGATTAAATACTAATATAAAACTCTCTATTTATAAAACTCGCTCCTATTTCCCTGACTATCCCTGTGAGCTGAGCCAAAAATGAACTCTCCCTCCAGGCCTTAAAACTCCCAGGTACTCATAAAGTCCTCTCTCTGTCCCCGGCTCAGACTGACTCACAATGTTGTTCAAAACAGTTTTATAAGAATGTGTAGAAGAAGAGAAAGGGCCTCCGTATGTGGTTAAACCCGGAGAGCCTGGTCTTGGTCTTGGTCTGGTCTGCGTCTGGGTCTGAGTCTGGGTCTGGTCTGGGTCTGGTCTCGATCTGGGTCTGGTCTGTGTCTGGTTTGAGTCTGGTATGGGTCTGGGTCTGGTCTGAGTTTGGTCTGGATCTAGAATGGGTCTGTGTAAGCAGTAACCTTTAACAAAGACACAGGGAATTTCAGGTTCGCCTCCGCCGCTTGTTTACCTCAGCTGTCTGTGCTAACCACAGACCTGTCTGGTCTAACCACAGACCTGTCTGGTCTAACCACAGACCTGTGGTCCGCTGTGATTGGTCACAATCTGGACCAGAAACACATTCTCTTCATTGTTTCACCAATTCTTATTCTTCAAAAGGACATATGTCCCAATGCACTGCATAGACATGGGTTGGATTTAACTAATGAATACAAAAATTGAGGTAATCCAGCTTTAACTTTATATTTGATCCAGTTTTAGTTCAATCTAAATAAACACATTTTGTTTTCAGAAAAATCAACCAGAAAATAACAGTGAAACTTTTGTCACATTAAAGTCATGTTAAAAAACCTGAATAATGTAAAAAACAAAGACGAGAAAAGGAAATGTCTTTTATTGTTTTGGCCCCGACACCACTGACACTGACACCACTGACACTGACACCACTGACACCACTGACACTGACACCACTGACACCACTGACACTGACACCACTGACACTGACACCACTGACACTGACACCACTGACACCACTGACACTGACACTGACACCACTGACACCACTGACACTGACACCACTGACACTGACACCACTGACACCACTGACACTGACACCACTGACACTGACACCACTGACACCACTGACACCACTGACACTGACACCTCTGACACCACTGACACCACTGACACTGACACCACTGACACCACTGACACTGACACCACTGACACTGACACCACTGACACTGACACCACTGACACCACTGACACTGACACCTCTGACACCACTGACACCACTGACACTGACACCACTGACACTGACACCTCTGACACCACTGACACTGACACCTCTGACACCACTGACACTGACACCACTGACACCACTGACACTGACACCACTGACTCTGACGACACTGACACCACTGACACTGACACCACTGACACCACTGACACTGACACCACTGACTCTGACGACACTGACACCACTGACACTGACACCACTGACTCTGACGACACTGACACCACTGACACTGACACCACTGACACTGACACCACTGACTCTGACGACACTGACACCACTGACACTGACACCACTGACACTGACACCACTGACACCTCTGACACCACTGACACCACTGACACTGACACCACTGACTCTGACGACACTGACACCACTGACACCACTGACACTGACACCACTGACACCACTGACACTGACACCACTGACACTGACACCACTGACACCTCTGACACTGACACCACTGACACCTCTGACACTGACACCACTGACACCACTGACACTGACACCACTGTTATAGAAGGAAACCATGAAAGGGCTAAATACAGTTGGTGCACGATGGATTTTGAAAGGATCAGCTAAAAACAAACACAACCTTCATATTTAGATTTTTCTGATGAAATTGTGAACATTCCTTTGCTCTGCAGGAGTTCTTTGACCTGTGGCCGATCCTGATGGGAGAGGTGCCTCCGTACGCTGGCCCCAAGACTCCGGACGGCAGGGTAACAGCACTCTACTGAGCTACTACACACTGAAATGAGCGAGAGCCAAAGTAAAACCTCTAAAATAACTTAGTCCCAGAAGAAAGTCTTTTTGTGGTGTTTTTCTCTCGTCAGATTCTCTCAGATCTCGTTGTGAAACTTCATGTGTTTTTGAACTCTGAGGCTGTAGCTTTAGGGAAACCCTTCTCCCCATCTCCACTTACTCTAAAAACAAAACCCAAAGATCCAGCTTCAACAACACGCACCTGACTGCTCCGAATGAGTTGGAAAATGTCAACAAAATGGAGAATAAAAGAGGAAATGTGTGACGATATGAAGGGATTAGATTAATGCAGAAGATAATGAGGATTTGTTTTTTATTTGGGCAAAAAACTGCAGTTAAATAATAATAACACATGTATTTTTGTTATTAATCATAACCTTTGAATGAACAAGGAAGTCAATAATGCTTTATTATTTTGTTTTGAACCTAAAAACATGATTAAATCTCATAATAAAGTGTTTTCTTAGTAATTATTGGCAGATTGTGACATGTATTTGTTCATATATTTATTATTTGGACGTTTTTGATCCTCCATAAAAGATGCTGTAATAGACTTTCATTTCTTACTCTTTAGCTTTGAGGCATGATTTTAAAACTTTGAAATCAGATTAACAAATTAGACTTATGCATTTAAAACTCTCAGGTCATGATTATCCACCACAGAGGAAGAAAAATGCCTAAACTAGGGTCTGAAAGGGTCTAAATGAGTCAGGGCCCGTCAAGGTAGAAAATATCATCAAAATTCAGCTAAAATGTTTTAATTAATGGTATTTTTGAATTACTTTGGCAGGTACATTCAACACAAGCGGTAAACCTGTCTCTATGTTCTATATTTTGATCCAGGCCAAGTCACTGTGTAAATGTTTGCATAAAATAACTTCTTCTCGAGCCCATAATCCACCGTCAGAGTCTGAAATCTCTGCCTCTGAACTTGTGTCTTCTGAAAATCATTTGGAGCCACATTTTCTAACTCTCTTTTGTTTTAAAGGAAGTCATTTTCTACAAGATCATCGACTACATCCTCCACGGGAAAGAGGACATTAAAGTCATACCGTGAGTGGAGCAGTAGTAATTATTGCAGTATTAGTTTGACTCTGGAGTGACTTTGAAAAGGTGTTTCTCTCAGCTCTCCTCCGGCCGATCACTGGGCTCTGATCAGCGGATTACCCACCTACGTGGCTGAGAACGGGCTGGTGAGAAACTCTTTTTATTCTCTGTATTACTGTAATGAACCACCCCCAACAGACAGGGAGGGGCTGGGGGGTTGAAGAACAATCTTTCTCCGTTTTCTCTTTTTTGTTGCATTATTAGTAGTAGTAGTTGATCCATCCATCCATTTTCTTCCCCTTAATCCATTTCTGGGTCGGGGGGGGTGGCAGTCAGAGCTGCACCCTCACTTAGCACCAGCGCCTCACTGATCCTCCTGCAGGTGCTGAGACCACAAGAGCCCTGATTATTCAGTAGGGGCTTCAGGCAAAGTAGGGTTAAGTGTCTTGCCCAAGGGACACAACGACAGCAGTCATCAGTGGGAGTCATGAAGTAGGTCTTGTGGTGGGCTCAAACCCATGACCTTCAGGCCCAAAGGCCAATGCTCTACCAACTGAGCCACTGTCGTAGTAGTAGTGCACTTTATTGTCCCCGAAGGGAAATTTGTCAGCTGCATTTGAGCCACGTTTGGACCAAGAACCATTTTTGGACCAAGAACCATTTTTGGACCAAAACCCACTTTTGGACCAAGAGCCATTTTTCTGACCAAGAACCACTTTTGGACCATCCTGTAAAGACGTTTTTGGTGCGGACGCCATACAAAAGCATGGGGTAATTCTCTTTCCGGGTACACCCCCACAGACCCGGAGTGAGATTGCCCTTTTGGTGCCAAGACCTGCTTTAAATACAAACGTCCATCGCTTCTGTATCCAAATGTGGTTGTCATAGTGAACTGGTCACATGGTACTTTTGCATATTTCTTTTATTGTGAGCAGATAATTTCATTTTGAGTCCAACGTCTAAAGCGACAAGCGTTTAGTCTGAGCAGAGTAAACCCCCTGTTGCTCCGTGTTACAGCCCCACCTTTGAATCATTTATTTTTCCATTTAACAGTCTTGGGATATTAGCACAAGGATATTTTGCGAGCTCCAATTCAAAATGACAGAGGATATTGAAGATGTAATATTTATCTCTACCTGCCGGGCTGAGTCACCGGATGAATAATGAATACACTGGCTCCGAGTGGAAGTCCCAGGATTAGAATAGAACCGAGTTAAAGGTGTTTAGGCAAAATCAGGTTGTAGTCAGACTGAGAGCGGCTGATTATTAAAGTTGCAATATGTAAGATTATCAGGTAAAGTCATCATTAAAGGGCCCTAATCTGTCATCATTAAAGGGCCCTAATCTGTCATCATTAAAGGGCCCTAATCTGTCATCATTAAAGGGCACTAATCTGTCATCATTAAGGGCCCTAATCTGTCATCATTAAAGGGCCCTAATATGTCATCATTAAAGGGCCCTAATATGTCATCATTAAAGGGCCCTAATCTGTCATCATTAAAGGGCACTAATCTGTCATCATTAAGGGCCCTAATCTGTCATCATTAAAGGGCCCTAATCTGTCATCATTAAAGGGCCCTAATATGTCATCATTAAAGGGCCCTAATCTGTCATCATTAAAGGGCACTAATCTGTCATCATTAAAGGGCCCTAATCTGTCATCATTAAAGGGCCCTAATCTGTCATCATTAAAGGGCACTAATCTGTCATCATTAAAGGGCCCTAATCTGTCATCATTAAAGGGCCCTAATATGTCATCATTAAAGGGCCCTAATCTGTCATCATTAAAGGGCACTAATCTGTCATCATTAAAGGGCCCTAATCTGTCATCATTAAAGGGCCCTAATCTGTCATCATTAAAGGGCACTAATCTGTCATCATTAAAGGGCCCTAATCTGTCATCATTAAAGGGCCCTAATCTGTCATCATTAAAGGGCACTAATCTGTCATCATTAAAGGGCCCTAATCTGTCATCATTAAAGGGCACTAATCTGTCATCATTAAAGGGCCCTGCTCTGTCATCATTAAAGGGCCCTAATCTGTCATCATTAAAGGGCACTAATCTGTCATCATTAAAGGGCCCTAATCTGTCATCATTAAAGGGCCCTAATCTGTCATCATTAAAGGGCCCTAATCTGTCCTCATTAAAGGGCCCTAATCTGTCATCATTAAAGGGCCCTAATCTGTCATAATAATAAACTGCTCTTTTCCAATACTTCTTTAACTGATAACAATAGTTCAGAGATATTTGAATTTCTAAATTACTTTTCCAGCCTCTAAATCTTGTTATTGTTTTCATTCCGATGTCCCGCCCTCCACCGTTTCACCAATCAGAAAGTATGTGATCCGGGCGCCAGAACTCACCGCGTGGAGCTAATCTCCCTGGTAAAGTACCATGTGGCGCAGAACTAAAAAAGGTCTCGTTATGATTCTCAAATCATTAACGACAAAACAAGGAATAAAACCAGGATTTCTATCTTTGTGAAAAAGGTGTTGGTTATAGATTTGTTGTTGACAAAACTCTTGTCTATTCAGCTGTCATGGTCCCCGCTGGATTCGTCTGCATATCTGGCAACCTGAGTCAGGGAGAGTGGGAGAGGCTGCAGTACCACTTTTGGCCACATTTTTACATACTGCTCCTTTAACCAAATATAACCTACACTGCAAGGACCCACAGTGAGGACTTTCTTCTTTGCTGCGTCTCCCTCGGTCCAACACCTGAGCCCATCTCTGTGTGAATCTGCATTAACCAAATGATTCCGTTTTCAGCCGTGTAACCGGTGCGGAAATGAAAACTCATCCCTCTGTGACCAGCAATATGGGTCTGCGAGCAATTTAATTAATCTAGGAAATAGTCAAATGTATTTTTTTTTTCTTTACATATCCAACTTTGTGCTCCACTGGAGAGTCTGTCCTCTGATGGAAGTTTTTCTGTCTCTAAAGTCATTCCAACTCTCAATCTAAAGTCTAAAATGACTTTTTAGAGTTGAAAAGACTTTTTATATCACTTTTCCTCTCAAACTAACATAATTCAGAATTAAGTTTTATTTCCGTCTTTCCACATTTATATACATCATTACAGTGCAGTAACTACAGCAGAAAGAAAGGACATGGACCATAGTAAAGTAATAATATTAAATGTATAAAGGAGGATTTTACCAAACTTTATGGAAAGAACCGTTCTCTCCACTCCACTCTCTCTGATCTTATTGGACAAGCACGTATCATCAGAATGATTGACAGTTAGAAGGACCAATAGTCTTGATGATCCACCCGGAAGAAAATCCTCCTGTATGCCTTTAATCTAAATGGTTGAAAGCCCAAGTACATACAAGACCATACTGCAGCCTCATTTAATGAATAAAGTACCATCAACATTAGTCCTGGTCTCAGGTCTCTGCACCTGTGTCTCTCCATGGTCTCAAAGTCCATCTGGTTAGTCCCATTTGAACCAACCAAAGACTGAGGAGCACAGGGACTGGCCTCCTGCTGGGACTCTGAGGAGCACAGGGACTGGCCTCCTGCTGGGACTCTGAGGAGCACAGGGACCGGCCTCCTGCTGGGACTCTGAGGAGCACAGGGACTGGCTCCTGCTGGGACTCTGAGGAGCACAGGGACTGGCCTCCTGCTGGTCCCAGAGTCACATCCCTCCTTCACATTAGATTTCTTCATTAAATAAATTTTTGATATAAATTGTTAGTATTGTTAATAATGTAATAAAATGTACCTGTGTCAAAGTAACTTCCTGTTTCTGCAGATCTGTAACATCATGAACGCAGCGGAGGATGAGACCTTTGCTTTTCAGGTGAGAAGGTTCCGGGGCCAAGGAGCCTTTAAGAATTCATCCATCCATCCTTTTTCTTCCCCTTAATCCAGTTCTGGGTTGGAGGGGGTGGCAGTCAGAGCTGCACCCAGGACACATAGCACCAACCCCTTTATAAATGTGAAAATTGGAAGTTTTTGTGGATTTGACTCAGTGGCTGCGACTGGTTAGTGTGGTCTCTGTCTTCTCTGGTCTCTCTCTGGTCTTTACTCTGGTCTCACTCTCTGTCTGACCTTCCCTCTAGACTCTCTGGTCTGTCTCTCTTTGTTGTTTCTCTCTTTCTGGTCTCTCTCTGATCTCTCTCTGATCTCTCTTTGGTCTCTCTCTGGTCTCTCTCTCTGGTCTCTCTTTCTGGTCTCTCTTTCTGGTCTTTCTCTCTGGTCTCTCTCTCTAGTCTCTCTCTCTGATCTCTCTCTCTGGCCTCTCTCTCTGGTCTCTCTCTCTCTGGTCTCTCTCTCTCTGGTCTCTCTGGTCTCTCTCTCTCTGGTCTCTCTCTCTCTCTGGTCTCTCTCTCTCTGGTCTCTCTAGTCTCTCTCTGGTCTCTCTCTCTCTGGTCTCTCTAGTCTCTCTCTGGTCTCTCTAGTCTCTCTCTGGTCTCTCTCTCTCTGGTCTCTCTGGTCTCTCTCTCTCTGGTCTCTCTGGTCTCTCTCTCTCTGGTCTCTCTGGTCTCTCTTGCTCTCTCTCTGGTCTCTCTCTCTCTCTGGTCTCTCTGGTCTCTCTCCTGTATATACATGACAATACTAACACATACATACAGTATGAACATTACCCATTTACATCCAGTCTATGGTCTTTCCTCACACTGCAGTAAATCTACTTCTAGTCTATTCAAGGCGCTACATAATTAAACTTCCTCACTTCCTACACACAGTAATAATTGTAGTTTTGTGTTTTCATCAGAAAGAGCCTCTGGACGACTCCGGATGGACCATTAAAAACGTGCTGTCGATGCCCATTGTCAACAAGAAGGAAGAGATTGTGGGCGTGGCTACGTTTTACAACAGGAAGGACGGAAAGCCCTTCGACGACATGGATGAGACGCTGATGGAGGTAGAGGCTGAGTCACGCTTAAAAATACTCTGAGCATTCACAGACTCTGCAATATTAATGCTCCCAGGGATCTGACTCAGAGAACGCAAACACGAGAGCCCAGAAAGAGCAGAAAGATTTGGAGATTGGCCTCAGGTCGGGAGCGGAGGATGAGTCTGCTACAGTTGAGACATAATGGGCTTTCAAAGTTTTATAGGAAAAGGTATAGTTGTTTGTAAAAAACTTTGAAACTAAACTGACTACATTGTAAAATCCTAACAAAATAACAATGATCAAATATGAAGTAATGAAAGCTTAAATCAAGTTGAACCCTCTATAGTTGATTTTATAACAATGAAATAACACAAGTAACATTTTTGTATGCAAGTCTCTCACACTGATCTTTCTCTGGTCTCTCTCTGGTCTCTCTCTCTGGTCTCTCTCTCTGGTCTCTCTCTGGTCTCTCTCTCTATTCTCTCTCTGGTCTCTCTCTGGTCTCCCTCTGGTCTCTGTCTGTCTCTCTCTGGTCTCCCTCTGGTCTCTCTCTGGTCTCTGTCTGTCTCTCTCTGGTCTCTTTCTCTGGTCTCTCTCAGTCTCTCTCTCTCTGGTCTGTCTCTCAGTCTTTCTCCCTCTGATCTGTCTCTCAGTCTTTCTCCCTCTGATCTCTCTCTGGTCCCTCTCTGGTCTCTCTCTGGTCTCTTCCTCGGGTCTCCCTCTGGTCTCTCTCTGGTTACTCTGCTCTTTCTCTCTGGTCTCTCTCTGGTTACTCTGCTCTTTCTCTCTGGTCTCTCTCTGGTTGCTCTCTCCCTCTCGGGTCTCTGCGTAAGAACGCAGACATACTTTTACGGCAAAAACACCACCTGTTATGAAAGCAAACCAACGTTAAACCCGCATCTTTAAGTAATCATTTAATATTCTCAAACATGAAACAATCCGAAACTATTCAAGACAAATTCTCTCTTGTCCAAAACACAACGACCTCTCTCCTGGTTTCTTGGTGAGCAAAGACAGCAGGGAGGAGCGAGGAGTGTCCGTTTGATGAGGATCTATGATGAGGTGCATGATGGGAAATCCTGGGGCGGGGGTAATCACAGGTGTGTGTGGGTGTGTGTGTGTGTGTGTGTGTGTGTGTGTGTGTGTGTGTGTGTGTGTGTGTGTGTGTGTGTGTGTGTGTGTGTGTGTGTGTGTGTGTGTGTGTGTGTGTGTGTGTGTGTGATGGATGGACTGAGCTAATGCTGACACCAAACCAATCAGGAGCCCACAGCGGGACACGCCACAAACACACGGGACCATCACTTAAACCCCAGACCTGCTCCTCGAAGTATTGATGTTGTAGAATACAACTTATGGTTCTCTGGTCTCTCTCTCTCTGGTCTCTCTCTGGTCTCTCACGCTGGTCTCTCTCTGGTCTCTCTCTCTGGTCTCTCTCTGGTCTGTCTCTCTGGTCTCTCTCTGGTCTCTCTCTGGTCTCTCACGCTGGTCTCTCTCTGGTCTCTCTCTCTGGTCTCTCTCTGGTCTGTCTCTCTGGTCTCTCTCTGGTCTCTCTCTGGTCTCTCTCTCTCTGGTCTCTCTCTCTCTGGTCTCTCTCTCTGGTCTCTCTCTCTGGTCTCTCTCTGGTCTAACTCTGGTCTCTCTCTCTGGTCTCTCTCTGGTCTCTCTCTCTGGTCTCTCTCTGGTCTCTCTCTGGTCTCTCTCTGGTCTCTCTCTCTGGTCTCTCTCTGGTCTCTCTCTGGTCTCTCTCTGGTCTCTCACTCTGGTCTCTCTCTGGTCTCTCTCTGGTCTCTCTCTGGTGACCTGCTCCTCGCACTATTGATGTTGGAGAATACGGTTCATGGTTCCTCGGTTTGGAAGATTTACGAGTTTTTATGGAGAGAACGGACTTTGGGGATGTCGGGAGTTCGTTGGACCGAGAGGCGAGGGATCTTAGTCTTAGGAATCAGTGAAATGAACTGTAAATATCTGGACGATGGTGTTTGTAAAGAGGTGGCTGTGGTTATGCACTGTAAAAAATGATGACAAATAAGTCAAAAATTGCTAAAGTTTGACTAAATGTATCTTAAAATGGGACAAACAAAATGATCCTGTTTTAAAAATATACAAGAAATGTCTCCTTTGGAATGAGAAAATACAGCAAGAGTTCTTGAAATAAGAATAAATGGTTTTGTCCCATTATAATATTGTCAGAATGTACAGTACATATATACATACAATACAGACCAAAAGTTTGGACACCCTCTCTCATTGACTGTTGCTGTAGACCCACACCAGGCTCCACAGAGGTGATGGGGGAGTCCATCACGGAGGGTGGGGGCGGGGGGACAGTGCTCTTCCTGAAGTCCACAATCATCTCCACTGTCTTCTGGGCGTTCAGCTCCAGGTTGTTACCACTGCACCAGGACACCAGCCGGTCCACCTTCCTCCTGTAGGCGGACTCATCGTTGTTGGAGATGAGTCCAATGAGGGTGGTGTCGTCCGCGAACTTGAGCAGCTTCACAGTGGTTGGTGTACAGGGAGAAGAGCAGGGGAGAAAGAACACAGCCCTGTGGGGCTCCTGTATTTATAATCCGAGAGTCCTAGACATTCTTCCCCAGACGCACTCGCTGCTTCCTGTCCGTCAGGAAGTCAGTGATCCACCTGCAGGTGGAATCGGGCACGTTGAGCTGGGAGAACTTGTCCTGGAGCAGGGATGGCAGGATTGTGTTGAAGGCAGAGCTGAAGTCCACGAACAGGACCCTGGCGTAGGTCCCCGGGGAGTCCAGGTGCTGTAGGATGTGGTGGAGGGCCAGGTTAATGGCGTCGTCTACAGATCTGTTGGCTCTGTAGGCGAACTGCAGGGGGTCCAGGAGGGGGGAGGTGAGGGACTTGAGATGGGAGAGAACCAGGCGTTCAAATGACTTCATGACGACAGACGTAAGTGCTACAGGTCTGTAGTCGTTGAGTCCTGTGATCCTGGGCTTCTTCGGGACGGGGACAATGATGGAGGATTTGAAGCAGGCCGGGACATGGCAGGACTGCAGAGAGGTGTTAAATGTCAGTGAACACAGGAGTAAGCTCACTGGCGCAGTGTCTCAGAGTGGCCGGAGACACGTGGTCCGGGCCAGGAGCTTTGCGGGGGTGCAGCCTCAAGAAGAGACGTTTGATGTCTTCTGAGACTATTGGCAGGGTGGGGGCAGGGCTGATGGGTGGGTCGTTAGAGTAGTGGGGGGTGGGGGAGGGAGAGGTGTCAGGGGCAACATCAAAGCGGCTGAAAAACCTGTTCAGGTCGTTGGCCAGTCTGTGGTCGTCAGCACAGGGGGGGGCTTTGGGCTTGTAGTTGGTGATCTCCCGTAGGCCCCTCCAGACAGAAGCAGTATCGTTGTTACCAAACTGCTCCTGTAGTCGTTCTCTGTGCCGGGACTTGGCTGCTTTCAGTTCTTTCCTGAACTGATATTTAGCTGCTTTGTAGCCGCTGCGGTCCCCCTCCCTGAAAGCAGACTCCTTTGCTTTCCTGAGCTGCCGGAGTTTAGCAGTGAACCAGGGTTTGTCGTTGTTATAGATGACCCTGGTCCTTGTTGGAATGATGCTATCCTCACAGAAGTGAATGTATGACGTCACAGTGTCCGTGTATTCATCCAAACTATCTGTGGCAGCTCTGAAAAGGTCCCAGTCTGTAGATTCCATGCGCGCAGCTCTTCCACAGCTTCATCAGACCACACTTTGGAGCTCCTCACTGCAGGTTTCGAGAGCTTTAGTCTCTGTCTGTAAGCAGGAACCAGATGTATCATGGAGTGATCTGAGAAGCCAAGGGCTGCTTTGGGAACAGCGCGAAAAGCTCCGCGCACGGTGGTGTAACAGTGATCCAGAGTGTTCTCCTCTCTGGTCGGGCATTTGATGAACTGTCTGTATTTTGGGGCTGGACCACAGAGTAAAGGGGCCAACAAGTGCTAAGCATCATGGGAACTCCTTCAAGACTGTTGAAGACCATTTCACATTTCAGGTCCTCTTGAAGCTCATCCAGAGAATGCCAAGAGTGAAGCAGTATCAGAGCAAAAGGAGCTACTTGAAGAACCAGAATATAACACATATTTACACTTGGTTCATACTTTTTTAGTACGTACATAATTCACATGAGTTCATTCATAGGGTTTGAGGCCTTCAGTGTCAATCTACAGTTTTCATAATTATAAAGGAGGTGTATCCAAACTTTTGGTTTGCACTGTTCTCAAAATAAGATAAAAACCACATTTTAAAACCTCATATTTTATCATTTTTAGCAGTGTAGCTGTTATAGAGATGGTGCTTTTCTTTTGTATAATTATTTTTTTGTCTTCTACCACATCTACAGACTCAGGGTTTCATTGTATGATTATGATGCTAAAGACCTCTCCCCGGTCTCTCCCCCAGTCCCTGACTCAGTTCCTGGGATGGTCGGTTCTGAACACAGACACCTACGACCGCATGAACAAACTGGAAAACCGGAAGGACATTTTCCAGGACATGGTCATGTACCACGTCAAGTGCCGCAAGGACGAGATCCAGAACATCTTGGTGAGTCGGAGTAGGCATGTCCGAGAAGTTGGATGCACCTTAGAGCTGTCTGTGGTTCTGAAAAACATGTTTGTTTATCCACAGAACACCAAGGAGCGGTTTGGGAAACAGCCATGTGACTGCGAAGAGGAGGAGCTGCAGGAGATTCTGGTGAGGAAGAAATCTATCTCTGATCTGTCTGGTCTCTCTCTCTAGTCTCTCTCTGGTCTCTCTGCCTGGTTTCTCTTTCTGTCTCTCTCTGGTCTCTCTGCCTGGTTTCTCTCTCTGGTCTCTCTCTGGTCTCTGTCTGGTCTCTCTCTCTGGTCTCTCTCTGGTCTCTGTCTGGTCTCTCTCTCTGGTCTCTCTCTCGCTGGTCTCTGTCTGGTCTCTCTCTCTGGTCTCTCTTCCTAGTCTCTCTCTCTAGTCTCTCTCTGGTCTCTGTCTGGTCTCTCTCTCTGGTCTCTCTTCCTAGTCTCTCTCTCTGGTCTCTCTTTGGTCTCTTTCTGGTCTCTCTCTCTCTGGTCTCTCTTTCTAGTCTCTCTATGGTCTCTATCTCTGTCTGGTCTCTCTCCATTCTCTCTCTGGTCTCTCTCTCTCCCTCTGGTCTCTCTCTCTCTAGTCTCACTCACACAGACTCAGACACGCCATAGACTGTAAGTGCATAAGCACAAACCCACTAGCTCAAACCCAATAAGGAAGTGCTCATGGACAAAGTTTTACTCCCACTCGCTCTGGCTCCTCCAGCTTTTAACCATTTGCGTCACACTCAAGATATTGGGATTAAAAGAATCAGTGACATAATTTCAACCATAGTCTCAAACTGGCAAAGTCTACAGTATTCCTTATTATTTATGTCATGGATTCAAACTGCTCCCTCCGGTACTATCAGATCTTGTTTTGGGTTTGGGTCCGGCCCCCGCTCTTTTCTGGATTACGGGATACTTTGTAAGATTTTTGTTTCTGGTCTCTGTTCCAGACCGAGGTGATTCCCAGCGCAAAGAAAATGGAGATCTTGGAGTTCCACTTCTGTGATTTTGCGCACAGTGAGCTGGACCTGGTCAAATGTGGAATCAGGATGTACTACGAGCTCAAAGTGGTCGACAAGTTCCACATCCCCCGAGAGGTACGGCCCGGAACGGCCCGGAACGGCCCGGAACGGCCCGGAACGGCTTCATGACTGTTTTTATCTTTATTATTACTACTATTAAATGTACGGTTTGCTACTGAGCCACTGTGTCCCAAAGCCTTGTGTTGCTAACGTGCGCGGATGTAAACACGGCTATGTCTCGGGCTCATGGGTTCGAATCCCGGTCGGAACAGGGCCTTTCTGAGTGGAGTTTGCCTGTTCTCCTTGTGTCTGCATAGGTTTCCTCTGGGTACTCCGGTTTCCCGTACCACTAAGAACATGTACAATAGGTCTGTGCCTATTGTAGGGTAGAGTGCACTAGAATATACAGCATTAAAGACTTGCCTCTTATTTAAAAATCCTGGGTTCGAATCCCGGTCTGAAGAGGGTCTCTCTGAGTGGAGTTTGCATGTTCTCCCTGTGTCTGCATAGGTTTCTTCGCACTTCACATTCAAAAACATGAAATGAGTATAGGCTCTTTAGCCTTTCTATTGGAAAATAACATAATAGTTGTCAATAAGTAGTAAGAGAGAGAAAATGTACAAATGCAAAAATAAATACTAGAACCATGTGGTCATAAGTTGGCAGTTGAGTTACTCAGATGGAATATTTTGGATTGAAATATTCAAAAAACAGCTAAAAGCACCATAACTGGACAAAAGCGGAAAGAAAAGTCAATCTCAATAAATGACTTGTATCACAATTGTTCCCCATGAGTTCAAGTTTCTTTTCGCTCGCTTGTGTGACCAGACAAAGGTGTATTTTTTTATATTTTTGACTAATATTTCATCCATTATCTGCAATCTGGTCCATTCTGTCATTACCCAAACCTCATGACCGAGCGTTACGTTGAAAGCTAAACATTCAAGTAACAATGTTTAAGAAAAAAAGCTAATATTCCACTAAAGACAGAAGAACTAGGCTCACAGCACTCACAGTCCTCCCACTGTCGCTAACGGCAACGGAATCTGGTCCAGTCCCAACACTCGCACTTCCAACCTGGCGCCCCTCATTAGTTCCCGATGGGTCCAGTCCCAATTCTCCAGGGAGGTCTTTGGCCCCGCCCCCTTTGCGCCCCTGATCCACACTTTGCCGTAGCCTGCCTCTAAGCGGACTCTGGCGAAGGATATTGCCCATAATTCTTTGCGGTAAACAACAAAACGTCGGGAAAATGCATTTAAGTGTAAGTTTTTTAAACATATATCTAGTATGTGTGTAAATAAGTTTTGCTGTTACTTGGAAAGAAGCATAAATGTATTCACGGACATTCTTTGGAAACAATAACTTCTTTAAAGAAAGCGTTCATATAACATTCAATTTAAACTTTACACTTAGTACAATAAACTCAGGATGTATAAAAACTGACCAGATAACAGTTAGTTACCCACATTTAACTTAAAATTATAACCAATATACATTTATTTTAACGTGTGTGGAGCAACTCATTTTGTTTCCCACAGGGTCAGACCAAACGACCTTTAATGTTTATAAAGTTTAGGTCTGAAAATGACCATCTCTGACGAGTCGATGACGTGACCGGCACTGTCCCAATTCTGCCTTTTTTACTATAACCTGCCACTCAAACCCTTGCTTCAAACACATGCACACTTCGGAGAGGAGTGTAGGCTGCAGTGTGGGTTTTGGGATTGGGCCTCTGTCAATCACACTCAGCTGCAGCGCCACACTGCCCTCTCCTGGCAGCAAACAGGCACTGCTCACATCAAGCTTCATATCGCGAGGAAGCTCCGTCCAAGCAGCAGCTTCACTCATGCTGCAACCCTCCTCCTCCCCATCTCCGCCTCGTTCCGGGCTCTTTCATCATTCTCCTAAACTTCCACCACCAGGTTCTAGGCCCCGGGGGATTTCATCTCATCATCTCTTTCCCCTTCTAGGCCAAATCCTAACCACATTCTGTACAGCAGCAGTAAATGTAACCGTTAAAATATTTGTCCTCATATGTGTAATCTATGTACTGTCAGATTACAGCCAATTCTAATAATCCCATGTTGTATCGGTTCCAGTCTCTCCAGATTGTATTAGCGATACAGAAATATTAGCATGAGTAACATTACCTCTGTACAATCACAATCACCTTTCCACTTTCCCTTCCTCCTTAAATCTCCTAAAATGTCCTCTTGTGAATTCCAGGAAGCGCTCCGGTGAAAGGAGATGAGTTGAAATGTGATTATATGTCTGTGTTTTTGAGGCAGGAGGGTGACCTTGCTTTGGGCTACTTTGGATTTATTTAATCATCGTGGCTCTCGTCGCAGTGGGCTCTTGAACGCAGCTTCTTTAACATCAATGCATTTGGTCTTTTTGGATTTTTATATGATTTCTCTGGATCATTACAAAGAAAAAATCAAACCAGTTTCTATCACATAATGCTAATAATGCTAATAATCACCACTGGCAAATTTGTAAAAAAAAAATTGGTTTCTTTAACATAACTAAAGGAGATATATAAGTAAGTCATGTTTTTTTATATAGCGCATTTTACAGACTAAAGTCACCCAAAGCGCTTTACAATGTTCAGAGTTCATAATTATAACAGACTGATCCATCAAAACCTCTGACCCAACACCATCCATCCCTCACTCATCACATTCAGACCTATTGTGCATGTTTTTAGTGGTCGGGGAAACCGGAGCAGCCGGAGGAAACCTATTTCCGACACGGGCAGAACAAGCAAACTCCACACAAAAAGGCCTGGAGGTGGAACCCAGGAGCGCCAACCACTGCGCCGCCGCTTTAAATCAAGGCTAACGACAGCTAGCTTCTTTGCTCTGGCTTTTAACTCGAGCTAAAACGAAAGCTACCAGTATTTTTTTTCACGCTGTGTTTTTATTTTGTTTGTAAAGTCTGGAAAACATTTAGTGGCAGGACTAAGGACTAATAAGGACTTAATGAATATCAATTAAGAGCTAATTAAACAAATTTGCTGTTTATTAGTGAAGGCTAAACTAAAATATGACCAAAAATCTGAATCTATGATCGACCCTGCCCTTCTGTCCAAATGATATTTTTTCAAACGCAGCACACTATGATGACAACATTGACCGTGACGTCATTTTTATAGTTAGCGATTATGGCCGGCACGGTGGCTGAGTGGTTAGCCCTCTCGCTTCTCAGCCAAAAGGTCCTGGGTTCGAATCCCGGTCGGAACAGGGCCTTTTTGAGTGGAGTTTGCATGTTCTCCCCATGTCTGCGTAGGTTTCCTCCGGGTGCTCCGGTTTCCCCTACCATTAAAAACATGCACAATAGGTATGAATGTAAATGAGTGAGTGATTGGATGGTGTTTGGTCAGAGGCTTTTATGGACCAGTGTGACCAAATACCCAAAATATCTGATTTCTGAACATGGTTAAGCGCTTTAGGTCTGCACCTTGGTCTGTAAAATGCGCTATATAAATAAACATTTCTTTACTACATGTTTGCGCCCGACACCATCAAATGCTGCCAGACCAGAGCTGGTGAAATGAACTGGTGCTAAACTCTCTGGTGTTGCTGGTTGCAGGTCCTGGTGCGTTTTGTGTATTCGGTGAGTAAAGGATATCGCTGCATCACGTACCATAACTGGAGACACGGCTTCAACGTGGGACAGACCATGTTCACTCTGCTCATGGTAAGCTCCTTCTTACATCATCATCAAACAGTTTTAATGGTACTGTAGGCCACCTGGTAACTATGGTAACTTCCCATCTTAAGTCCTGTTTCCACCAGCCCCACTTGGTCCTGCTCTACTCTAGTCTGATCTACTCTACTCTACTCTACTCTACTCTACTCTACTCTACTCTACTCTACTCTACTCTACTCTACTCTACTCTACTCTACTCTACTCTACTCTGCTCTAGTCTACCCTACTCTACCCTACCCTACCCTACTCTACTCTACTCTACTCTACCCTACTCTACTCTACTCTACCCTACTCTACTCTACTCTACTCTACTCTACCCTACTCTACTCTACTCTACTCTACTCTACTCTACTCTACTCTACTCTACCCTACTCTACTCTACTCTACTCTACCCTACTCTACTCTACTCTACTCTACTCTACTCTGTCTGTGTCTATGTGTGTGTGTGTGTGTGTGTGTAAGTGTGTGTGTCTATGCATGTGTGTGTGTGTGTGTGTGTGTGTGTGTAAGTGTGTGTGTCTATGTGTGTGTGTCTATGCATGTATGTGTCTCTGTGTGTCTATGTGTCACTGCATTAAAACCTCTGATGTGAATAAAGTGCTAAAGGCTTCATGACAAACAGAAACCCGTCAAATAGGTTTGAAAATCTCGTCCCCATTTCTCTTCTTTCAATCCCTTTGTTTTAACACTTTCTTTCTGGATCTGAAAGACTCCGTAAACAGCTTCTCCTTGTGTTTATAAAAGTGTTGCATTTCTCGCGCAGACCGTGAAAGTTTGTAGTGAATTCTCTCAGAGTAAAATTGCCTCCATCTCGCTCAGCTTCAGTGGTAAATACTATAGTCTCTGTTTGTTTGAGAAATGTACAGATGTAAAGAGCCGGGTTACATCGGGATTGTTTTCAGCACTACCGTCATTTAAAGCTCGGGTACCTGACTTTCAAACCACAATAAATGTAACTTGTATTATACAGTTTTTACTACGGTTTTACTGCTATTTTGTTTAAACATATAAAAGTTGGCAAACTTGTATGTTTAAATGTGTTACTTATATCTCTGAGCAGCACTTTGGAAACTTGTTTTATACAATGTGCTACATAATTAAAGTGGATTAGATTAGATTGATTAACTATGTAATAAAATCCATGTGTAGTTCTATCATTAGTTTTAATAATAATGAATGCATTGGTTTTATATAGCGCTGTAAAGGACCCTCAAAGACTGCAAACACGACGGTGATAGACTAGTACTGGAAGCCACAGCTGCCCTGGGGCACACTGACAGAAGCGAGGCAACCAGTCTGTGCCATCAGCCCCTCCCACCACCACCAACCACTCACACACACACCAGACTCATTCTGATGTGGGAGAAGTGTCTTGCCTAAGGACACAGTGACACTTTTTCACTTTACAGCCACAGCCGCCCCACTGTGCCACCTGCTGTTCCCAGATGTCTCCCATCACAGCACTAACCACTCCCTGTCCTGCTTAGCAGCAGAGGTCTGACAGGATCTTGCTTTCACCTGCAGTTTTCATGTATTATTAGTCCTCTTTCACATCTTTAGAGCCACTTTTTCAGAACAAAGCTCTCTCAAGACTCTTTCTGTTGGACAAACTACATGTTATTTATGCACCAAAAGAATGTTTAAATTTGGTCTTTTATGTGTTTTGTGTGTATGTGTGTGTGTGTGTGTGTGTGTGTGTGTGTGTGTGTGTGTGTGTATATGTGTGTGTCCAGACCGGTGATTTGAAGCGGTACTACACAGACCTGGAGTGCATGGCTATGGTCACGGCTGGTTTGCTTCACGACATCGACCACAGAGGAACCAACAACCTCTACCAGATGAAGTACGTTTATTCTTACCATGAAGTCAAATAACACGCAAAAAACCCTGTGGGAAAAGTGAGATTTGGGTCTCCCAGAGGTTTCTCCCAGAGGTTTCTCCCAGAGGTTTCTCCCAGAGGTTTCTCCCAGAGGTTTCTCCCAGAGGTTTCTCCCAGAGGTTTCTCCCAGAGGTTTCTCCCAGAGGTTTCTCCCAGAGGTTTCTCCCAGAGGTTTCTCCCAGAGGTTTCTCCCAGAGGTTTCTCCCGGAGGTTTCTCCCGGAGGTTTCTCCCGGAGGTTTCTCCCGGAGGTTTCTCCCGGAGGTTTCTCCCGGAGGTTTCTCCCGGAGGTTTCTCCCGGAGGTTTCTCCCGGAGGTTTCTCCCGGAGGTTTCTCCCGGAGGTTTCTCCCGGAGGTTTCTCCCGGAGGTTTCTCCCGGAGGTTTTTCTCCCGGAGGTTTCTCCGAGGTTTCTCCCAGAGGTTTCTCCCAGAGGTTTCTCCCAGAGGTTTCTCCCAGAGGTTTCTCCCAGAGGTTTCTCCCAGAGGTTTCTCCCAGAGGTTTCTCCCAGAGGTTTCTCCCAGAGAGGTTTCTCCCAGAGGTTTCTCCCAGAGGTTTCTCCCAGAGGTTTCTCCCAGAGGTTTCTCCGAGGTTTCTCCCAGAGGTTTCTCCCAGAGGTTTCTCTTTCTCCCAGAGGTTTCTCCCAGAGGTTTCTCCCAGAGGTTTCTCCCAGAGGTTTCTTCCCAGAGTTTCTCCCGGAGGTTTCTCCCGGAGGTTTCTCCCGGAGGTTTCTCCCGGAGGTTTCTCCCGGAGGTTTCTCCCAGAGGTTTCTCCCAGAGGTTTCTCCCAGAGGTTTCTCCCAGAGGTTTCTCCCAGAGGTTTCTCCCGGAGGTTTCTCCCGGAGGTTTCTCCCGGAGGTTTCTCCCAGAGGTTTCTCCCAGAGGTTTCTCCCAGAGGTTTCTCCCAGAGGTTTCTCCCGGAGGTTTCTCCCAGAGGTTTCTCCCAGAGGTTTCTCCCAGAGGTTTCTCCCAGAGGTTTCTCACTTTTCCCACTGGGTTTAGAGTTGTTCCTTGGTGATGTCTGTTTTGTGAGCTCTAACTAAAAGGATAGCGATGATGATCTAGGAAACACAACAATCTACAACATCTAATACCAAAGTGTTTTCTAATAATAAAAAATGCATTGGTTTTATACAGCACTTTTTTGGACTCTTAAAGACGCTTTCACGTGTCATTATTCATTCACTCCAGACACGGTGATGATAAACTATTACCGTAGCTACAGCTGCCCTGGGGCACACTGACAGAAGCGAGGCAACCAGTCTGTGCAATCGGCCCCTCCTGCAGAGACAGTGGCTGTTAATTGACTCAAAGCGACAGCAGTCACTCCTCTTCCCCTCGCAAAATCCCCCCCCCCCTGATGGATGGGGCAGAGTGGAGAGCGATTAGCGTCCACCGCAGACAGGAGCTAGCCCACCCTGATTGATGTCACACTGCCCGCCCTCCAACATGGCCGCCCTCCGACACCAACATGAACACAGTCTGGGGCACTAATGTGGTCTGCAGTTAATGAAACTACTATAGACCAGAGAGAGGCCAGAGAGAGACCAGAGAGAGGCCAGAGAGAGACCAAAGACCAGAGAGAGACCAGAGAGAGACCAGGGAGAGACCAGGGAGAGACCAGAGAGAGACCAGAGAGAGACCAGAGAGAGACCAGAGAGAGACCAGAGAGAGACCAGAGAGAGACCAGAGAGAGATCAGAGAGAGACCAAAGACCAGAGAGAGACCAGAGAGAGACCAGAGAGAGGCCAGAGAGAGGCCAGAGAGAGACCAAAGACCAGAGAGAGACCAGAGAGAGACCAGGGAGAGACCAGGGAGAGACCAGGGAGAGACCAGGGAGAGACCAGAGAGAGACCAGAGAGAGACCAGAGAGAGACCAGAGAGAGGCCAGAGAGAGACCAAAGACCAGAGAGAGACCAGAGAGAGACCAGAGAGAGGCCAGAGAGAGGCCAGAGAGAGACCAGAGAGAGAGACCAGAGAGAGAGACCAGAGAGAGACCAGAGAGAGAGACCAGAGAGAGAGACCAGAGAGAGACCAGAGAGAGACCAGAGAGAGACCAGAGAGAGACCAGAGAGAGACCAGAGAGAGACCAGAGAGAGAACAGGGAGGGACCAGAGAAAGACCAGAGAGAGACCAGGGAGAAAGACTAGAGTGCGATACCAGAGAAACTAGAGAGAGACCAGAGAGAAAGAGTCCTCTTAACTAATCTTAACGGAAAATTGTGCGTTCCTAGTGTAGTGTGTAGTTTGTGTAAATGAGTGAATATTGATCTTATTCGTGTTCTGACAGATCGGCAAACCCTCTGGCCAAGCTGCACGGATCCTCCATCTTGGAAAGACACCACCTGGATTTTGGGAAGACGCTTCTGAGAGACGAGGTAAACAGGAAGTGCATAAAAACATTAGAGATAAACAGGAAGTGCATGAAGACAGGGAGAGACCAGAGGGAGACCACAGAGAGACCAGAGAGAGACCAGAGAGAGACCAGAGAGAGACCAGAGAGAGACCAGAGAGAGGCCAGAGAGAGACCAGAAAGAGAGACCAGAGAGAGAGACCAGAGAGAGACCACAGAGAGACCAGAGAGAGACCAGAGAGAGACCAGAGAGAGACTAGAGAGAGACTAGAGAGAGACCAGAGGGAGACCAGAGAGAGACCAGAGAGAGACCAGAGAGAGACCAGAGAGAGACCAGAGAGAGACCAGAGAGAGACCACAGAGAGCCCAGAGAGAGCCCAGAGAGAGACCAGAGAGAGACCAGAGAGAGACCAGAGAGAGCCCAGAGAGAGACCAGAGAGAGACCAGAGAGAGACCAGAGAGAGACCAGAGAGAGACCAGAGAGAGACCAGAGAGAGACCAGAGAGAGACCAGAGAGAGACCAGAGAAAGCCCAGAGAGAGACCAGAGAGAGACCAGAGAGAGACCAGAGAGAGACCAGAGAGAGACCAGAGAGAGACCACAGAAAGACCAGAGAGAGCCCAGAGAGAGACCAGAGAGAGACCAGAGAGAGACCACAGAAAGACCAGAGAGAGCCCAGAGAGAGACCAGAGAGAGACCAGAGAGAGACTAGAGAGAGACCAGAGAGAGACCAGAGAGAGACCACAGAGAGCCCAGAGAGAGACCAGAGAGAGACCAGAGAGAGACCAGAGAGAGACCAGAGAGAGACCAGAGAGAGACCAGAGAAAGCCCAGAGAGAGACCACAGAGAGCCCAGAGAGAGACCAGAGAGAGACCAGAGAGAGACCACAGAAAGACCAGAGAGAGCCCAGAGAGAGACCAGAAAGAGACCAGAGAGAGACCAGAAAGAGACCGCACACCAAGAAAGATTTTGTATATTATTAATTTTCTTTTTCAGGCTTAAATCAGGCTTTTATGCTTCATCAAGATGTTCATTCTTGGATTTATGGATCCTATTTGGTGGTAGTTTTATAATCCCAGGTGGAAAATGGCTTCTTACACATAAAAAACCACTAAAACATTTTATGATCTGTAATTGGTTTTAATATTTTGGGAACTATAAACTTAAATGTTATTTTCAAACCAGACAAAGTTAAACGATATAGTATTAAAATCCATCTGACTAGTTCCTTGCTCACAAAACGTTATGTATTTTTGGCTTTTGATCGGCTTTTTCAGAAGAAATAGTGACTCCCAGAGCAAGAAACATGTTTATTAATCCCATTTAAATTGGATTCTGATCAATTCAACAACTTTCATATGTGTAAGACTCTTTCTGTGGTGCAACATGAAACATCGTTTTGTCGCTGCTGTGTGTGTGTCTGTGTGTGTGTGTGTGTGTGGGTGTGTCTGTGTGTCTGTCTGTGTGTCTGTGTCTGTGTCTGTGTCTGTGTCTGTGTCTGTGTCTGTGTCTGTGTCTGTGTGTGTGTGTGTGTGTGTGTGTGTGTGTGTGTGTGTGTGTGTGTGTGTGTGTGTGTGTGTGTGTGTGTGTGTGTGTGTGTGTGTGTGTGTGTGTGTGTGTGTGTGTGTGTGTGTGTGTCTGTGTGTGTGTGTGTGTGTGTGTGTGTGTGTGTGTGTGTGTGTGTGTGTGTGTGTGTGTGTGTGTGTGTGTGTGTGTGTGTGTGTGTGTGTGTGTGTGTGTGTGTGTGTGTGTGTGATTTGACTTTGTGAGGTCCCTGAGAATGACAAGAATGATCTAGAAACACACTTAGATTGGACTGAAATAAATCTGAGGATAACAGAGCTTTGCTGAAGGATGAGACCGAACTGGGACAGAACTTCTGCAATGTCAGTCCAACTACAGAGAATACACACACACAGACAGACACACACAGACACAGACACACACAGACACAGACAGACAGACAGACATGCACACACACACATATACAGTGCCTTGCGAAGGTATTCGGCCCCCTTGAACCTTTCAACATTTCGCCACATTTCAGGCTTCTAACATAAAGATATAAAATTGTATTTTTTTTGTCATGAATCAACAATAAGTGGGACACAATCGTGAAGTGGAACGAAATTTATTGGATAATTTAAACTTTTTTAACAAATAAAAAACTAAAAAGTGGGGCGTGCAATATTATTCGGCCCCTTTACTTTCAGTGCAGCAAACTCAGTCCAGAAGTTCAGTGAGGATCTTTGAATGATCCAATGTTGTCCTAAATGACTGATGATGATAAATAGAAGGCACCTGTGTGTAATCAAGTCTCCGTATAAATGCACCTGCTCTTTGATAGTCTCAGGGTTCTGTTTAAAGCGCAGAGAGAACCATGAAGACAAAGGAACACACCAGGCAGGTCCGAGATACTGTTGTGGAGAAGTTTAAAGCCGGATTTGGACACAAAAAGATTTACCAAGCTTTAAACATCTCAAGGAGCACTGTGCAAGCAATTATATTGAAATGGAAGGAGTATGAGACCACTGCCAATCTACCAAGACCCGGCCGTCCCTCCAAACTTTCATCTCAAACAAGGAGAAGACTGATCAGAGATGCAGCCAAGAGGCCCATGATCACTCTGGATGAACTGCAGATAACTACAGCTGAGGTGGGAGAGTCTGTCCATAGGACAACAATCAGTCGTGCACTGCACAAATCTGGCCTTTATGGAAGAGTGGCAAGAAGAAAGCCATTTCTCAAAGATATCCAGTTAAAGTTTAAAGTTTGCCACAAGCCACCTGGGAGACACACCAAACATGTGGAAGAAGGTGCTCTGGTCAGATGAAACCAAAATAAAACTTTTTGGCCACAATGCAAAACAATATGTTTGGCGTAAAAGCAACACAGCTCATCACCCTGAACACACCATCCCCACTGTCAAACATGGTGGTGGCAGCATCATGCTTTGGGCCTGCTTTTCTTCAGCAGGGACAGGGAAGATGGCTAAAATTGATGGGAAGATGGATGGAGCCAAATACAGGACCATTCTGGAAGAAAACCTGTTGGAGTCTGCAAAAGACCTGAGACTGGGACGGAGATTTATCTTCCAACAGGACAATGATCCAAAACATAAAGCCAAATCTACAATGGAATGGTTCACAAATAGACGTATCCAGGTGTTAGAATGGCCAAGTCAAAGTCCAGACCTGTATATCTTATATACAAAGATATACCTTTGTATATCTGTTGAAATGTTGAAAGGTTCAAGGGGGCTGAATACTTTCGCAAGGCACTGTGTGTATATATATATATATATATATACACGCAGAAAGACACAGACACAAAATGTCACAGACACAGACAGACACGCACACACAGACACAGACAGACAGACACGCACAGACAGACACAGACAGACAGACAGACACGCACACACAGACACAGACAGACAGACAGACACACACACAGACACAGACAGACAGACCCGCACACACAGACACAGACACAGACAGACAGACACGCACACAGACAGACACGCACACACAGACACAGACAGACAGACAGCCACACACAGACAGACAGACACGTACACAGACACACACACACAGACACAGACAGACAGACACACACACACAGACACGGACAGACACAGACAGACAGACACGCACACACAGACACAGACAGACAGACAGACACACACACACAGACACACAGACAGACACGCACACACACAACACAGACAGACACAGACAGACAGACACGCACACACAAACACAGACAGACACAGACAGACAGACACGCACACAGACAGACACACATGCACACACACATATATATATATGTATACACATGCAGAGACACAGAAAGACACACACACACAAAGACACGTATGCACACACACACACACACAGAGAGACACAGATAGACAGACAGACATACAGACATACACAGACACACATACATACACACTCAGACAGACACACAAAGACACGCACGCACACACATACACACACAGACAGACAGATAGACACGCACAGACACACATACATACACACTCAGACAGACACACAAAGACACGCAGGCACACACACACATACACACATACAGACAGACAGACAGATAGACACGCACACAGACACACATACATACACACTCAGACACACAGACACACACACAGACACGGACACACATACATACACACTCAGACACAGACACACACAGACACGGACACACATACATACACACTCGGACACAGACACACACACGGACACACAGACATGCAGACACACACATACACACACACACATACTCACACAGACACACACACACACACACACACACACACACACACACACACACACACACAGAGACACAGACACAGACACACACACAGACACACACACACACACACACACACACACACACACACACACACACACACACACACACACACACACACACACACACACACACACACACACACACACACACACACACACACACACACACACACACACACACACACACACACACACACACACACACACACACACACACACACACACACACACACACACACACACACACACAGACACACACACACACACACACACACACAACACACACACACACGCGCAGACACACACACACACACACACACACTCGTAACAATGGATGTGTCGTCTGTGAGGGATTCGAACCCATCTGGACTTTAAAGGACGACAGTTGAAACGTCCCTCAGTATAAAACATATGTTTGTATCTGGAGTGTGACTGAAACTTTCTTTCAACTTCACAAACTCAAAATGTCAACCTCAAACTGGTTTCTCCAAACGTGTGTGTCTAATTATAATGAAAAACTCTGGTTCATTTTAATCAGAATTTATTGTGTCTGTTTTTTATGATTATTATTTTTAAACTGGTCATTTTTGGATTTATTGCTGATAGATTTTTCTGGACAAAATGATCAGTTACTGTTTGGATTGAACCGAAACAAACCGGACAAAAACAAGGCTTATTATCGAAAAGATGATCAACCAATGATTTCTTTATTTTTAATCGTGTTTTGGGTTCACATTTTAGAATCTAGAACCAGGGACATTAGTCTAAGAATGTTTATTTATTTATTTTTTATTTGAATTGATACTGTATATTAACGCAGGGGTCTCCAACCTGTAGCTCGGGAGCCACCGGTAGCTCGCCAAAGGATTTAGAAATGACCAAATTCAACAATACACTTAATATTTCACATTATATTATTCATTATTGTGCAATGTTATATAATGACTGTATCCAATATCAGGCTTTTTCACACCAATATATCACCACATTTTTCCCAGGGTTAGCTAAAAGGAGTAGCTCTCTGCCTTTACTGTCCTCGGAAAGTAGCTCTTTGGGGGAAAAAGGTTGGAGACACACAATACACATGTAAACCGTACCTGTGAGCTGTTTTCCATCTGTAGTCTCCGGACAGTTGTTGTGTGGGAATAAAAATACCGATAACACAACCAGATAAAACACAACACAATAAAATACACACAAACAGTATCTTTAATCAATCACATCAGACATGACAGACATGAACGCACAACTGTTACAAACTCAACAACAACCAATGTTGAGTATGAATTGTCCACTCAGCCACCGTGACAGCACTCTCGCCTCTCAGCAAGAAGGTCCCGGGTTCGAATCCCGGTCGGAACAGGGTCTTTCTGTTTGTAGTTTGCAGGTTCTCCCCGTGCTTGCGTAAGTTTCCTCCAGGTGCTCCGGTTTCCCCTACCACTAAAAACATGCTCACTAAGTTAAATCCTCCAGCTCTGGTCCTGACCAAGCCGAGCATCAACGTCTGGAGATGGGTTCCCGGGCGCTGTTACTACGGCGACCACTGCTCCTGACGTCAGCCTTAGCGGCATCAGGATCTGGGTCAAATGCAGAGGAGGAATTGCCCTACGGGGATTAATAAAGTGAATCTTTACCTTTAAGACAAGTCAGACTTACCAACGACAAGCGGCCAGCAGGGGGCAGCGAGAGGTGATGAGTCAGTGCGGACAGTTTTAGTATTTAGTGTTGAAGGGAGGATTCCTGATTAGTCTGAAATGCCTTGGCCCCGACTGAGTGTCCTTCATCTTCACGACATAATCACCAATGTCTTTAAAATATCTCTGAATAACTCTGAGCTCTTCCTTTCAGTCTTTGAACATCTATCAAAACCTGAACCGACGCCAACACGACACCGTCCTCCACCTCACGGACATCGCCATCATCGCCACGGACCTGGCTCTGTACTTTAAGTGAGTTTTTTTACACCGTATGTAAAAACGCCGGCTCTTATCGGCCACACGTGTCTGAATGACTAACGACTCAGGCTTTTGGAGATCGGGGACATTAAACCCGTGCGTACAGGATAAAGGGGAGGCTCCGCAACACGTGCTACTGCATTCGATCAATCTCATTTTCTACTCAGCGGGAGTCGTTTATAACATGAGATTACGTAGTATTACCTGAGGCAGAGAGAAGATCAGTGGGCCGGACTTTTACATGATATTGTGAATAGGAATGCCCGATTATTGATAAAGTGTGGCTCTCACTCTCATACTTTTAATGGACAATGCTAACCCGCTAGCACTGAAGCCTACTTTATCTGTGCTCCCATTCACTTTGGGCTTTTAAATCTATGGTTTGCTGCTATCCAAGATTGTAGGATGTTATCAACTCTTGGTAAATCCTGAAGGACGTATCATCTCGTTAGTCCTGGTCTCAGGTCTCTGCTCCTGTGGCTCAGAGAAAACGCTTAAGTCTCTCCATGGTCCACACCAAGGTACATACGAGACTTGTTAATGCCATATGAAGCAACTCTCAAGAGCACAGGGACTGGTCTCCTGCTGGGACTCTGAGGAGCACAGGGACTGGCCTTCTGCTGGGACACTGAGGAGCACAGGGACTGGTCTCCTGCTGGGACACTGAGGAGCACAGGGACTGGTCTCCTGCTGGGACTCTGAGGAGCACAGGGACTGGTCTCCTGCTGGTCCCAGAGTTAGGACTAAACATGATGAGGCAGCATTTCAGATTCATGCTAAAATCTGGAGCAGTCTTCCTGAAGATGTGAGACAGACTTCTTCTCTGACGATGTTGAAATCCAGGTTAAAAATTTCGGTTAAAAATTCCGTTTTGAATTTTCACGAATGAACAAAACAAAAACAATCAAAATACCCTTGATATTGTGATGTCAGTCCCTTTGAGGTGTCAAAAGGGTCAGTAGAAATATTGATCAGATAAAATGCATAAATGTGAGACAGTGTATTCTCTGTTTGCAGAAAGAGGACCATGTTCCAGAAGATCGTGGATCAGTCAAAAACCTACGAGAACTGGAACGACTGGACCAAGTACATGCAGCTGGAGACGACACGCAAAGAGATCGTCATGTAATACATTCTTTATGATTATGATTATTATTTTATATATATATTTTATTATTATTATTATCATTATTATTATTATTATTATTATCATTATTATCCATCCATCCATCCATTTTCTTCCCTTTAATCCATTTCTGGGTCAGGGGGGTGGCAGTCAGAGATGCCACCCAAGTCTCACAGCACCGGCCCCTCACTGACCCTCTGCAGGTGGTGAGTCCACAGGAGGACGGCTGCTCTCTGAGTGTGAGCATAGCCTTGATCTTTCAGTGGGGGCTTTGGGCAAAGTGGGGTTAAGTGTCTTGCCCAAGGACACAACAACAGCAGTCATCAGTGGGAGTCGGTGGAGAAGGTGTAGAGGTGGGAATTGAACCCACGACCTTCAGGCCTGAAGGCCAATGCTCTACCAGCTGAGCTACTGACTGTTATTATTATTATTATTATTATCATTATTATTATTATCATTATTACTAATATTATTATATATATATTATTATTATTATTATTATTATTATTATTATTAGTTACATAATAACTTGATACTTCTAGGGTTTAGGGACATTTTCCCACAATATTTAAAAAAATGCGTCTCGAAAAAATCACTGACTGTATCTTTAAGGATCTCTTAATCTTTTCATTTGTAAGATCATTTATTTGGGGTTTTTACAATCCAATTATCAGCGCTACATCAGATATAGCTTTGATAAATCTCACATATGCACTTTCACATGTGTCCTAGGGCCATGATGATGACTGCCTGCGACTTGTCTGCCATCGCTAAACCCTGGGAGGTCCAGAGCAAGGTTAGTCCCATCCTCCTCTAACACACAGCAGGAGCATTAGCATTAGCCTGTAGCTAGCACCTCTCCTCTCCTCCTTCCACCACATCGCTCCAGCTTCAGTCAAACAGCCACACGTCTGACAGAGGAGGCTTTGAGCGGCGTTTTGTCGAGGCAGGCCTGTTTTCCAGTTTTCTGACAGTTCCATGCATCACGCCCGACCTGCCGCCTTCCCCAGTCTCTCCAGTCGCTCATCAGCATTCAGAACAGCTCAGGATCGTAATGTACCCAGGCGCACGGCGGATCCAAACACACACACGTCTGTTTAAAGGAAAACGCATTGTTAAAGATCAGCTCGAATAACTCTAGTATCCATCATATTTTCACACACAGCAGGTTCTACATCAGGGACGTCAAAGTCAAATACATCAGAGGCCAAGAAAGATAATTTGCTACACGCCAAGGGCCGGTTTGGTTCAATGTTTATTAAAATATATTTAAATGCATATAAGCTCACGAACTAAGACCTAACACCTATTTAAAGACCCAGACAACAGACTCAGACAACAGACTCAGACAACAGACTCAGACAATAGACTCAGACTCAGACAACAGACTCAGACAACAGACTCAGACAACAGACTCAGACAACAGACTCAGACAACAGACTCAGACAACAGACTCAGACAATAGACTCAGACTCAGACAACAGACTCAGACAACAGACTCAGACAACAGACTCAGACAACAGACTCAGACAACAGACTCAGACAACAGACTCTCAGAAAACAGACTCAGGCAACAGACTCAGACAATAGACTCAGACTCAGAAAACAGACTCAGAAAACAGACTCAGAAAACACACTCAGACTCAGACAACAGACTCAGAAAACAGACTCAGACAACAGACTCAGAAAACAGACTCAGACAACAGACTCAGAAAACAGACTCAGACAACAGACTCAGAAAACAGACTCAGACAACAGACTCAGACAACAGACTCAGACAACAGACTCAGACAACAGACTCAGACAACAGACAACAGACTCAGAAAACAGACTCAGAAAACAGACTCAGACTCAGACAACAGACTCAGACAACAGACTCAGACAACAGACTCAGACTCAGAAAACAGACTCAGACTCAGGCAACAGACTCAGACAACAGACTCAGACAACAGACTCAAACAGACTCAGACAACAGACTCAGACAACAGACTCTGTGCGGCTGGTTTTAATACTAATCATATATCACACTTGGGGCCAAGACTCAACAGACTCAGACTCAGGCAACAGACTCAGACAACAGACTCAAACAGACTCAGGCAACAGACTCAGGCAACAGACTCAGACAACAGACTCAGACAACAGACTCAGACAACAGACTCAGGCAACAGACTCAGACTCAGAAAACAGACTCAGACAACAGACTCAGACAACAGACTCAGACAACAGACTCAGGCAACAGACTCAGACAACAGACTCAGACAACAGACTCAGACAACAGACTCAGGCAACAGACTCAGGCAACAGACTCAGGCAACAGACTCAGGCAACAGACTCAGACAACAGACTCAGACAACAGACTCAGGCAACAGACTCAGACTCAGAAAACAGACTCAGACAACAGACTCAGACAACAGACTCAGGCAACAGACTCAGACTCAGACAACAGACTCAGACAACAGACTCAGACAACAGACTCAGACAACAGACTCAGACAACAGACTCAGGCAACAGACTCAGACAACAGACTCAGGCAACAGACTCAGACTCAGACAACAGACTCAGACAACAGACTCAGACAACAGACTCAGACAACAGACTCAGACAACATACTCAGACAACAGACTCAGGCAACAGACTCAGACAACAGACTCAGACAACAGACTCAGACTCAGACAACAGACTCAGACAACAGACTCAGACAACAGACTCAGACAACAGACTCAGAAAACAGACTCAGACTCAGGCAACAGACTCAGACAACAGACTCAGAAAACAGACTCAGACAACAGACTCAGACAACAGACTCAGACAACAGACTCAGGCAACAGACTCAGACAACAGACTCAGACAACAGACTCAGACAACAGACTCAGACAACATACTCAGACAACAGACTCAGACAACAGACTCAGAAAACAGACTCAGAAAACAGACTCAGACTCAGACAACAGACTCAGACAACAGACTCAGACAACAGACTCAGACAACAGACTCAGAAAACAGACTCAGACTCAGGCAACAGACTCAGACAACAGACTCAGAAAACAGACTCAGACAACAGACTCAGACAACAGACTCAGACAACAGACTCAGGCAACAGACTCAGACAACAGACTCAGACAACAGACTCAGACAACAGACTCAGGCAACAGACTCAGACAACAGACTCAGACAACAGACTCAGACAACAGACTCAGAAAACAGACTCAGACAACAGACTCAGAAAACAGACTCAGACAACAGACTCAGACAACAGACTCAGACAACAGACTCAGAAAACAGACTCAGAAAACAGACTCAGACTCAGACAACAGACTCAGACAACAGACTCAGACAACAGACTCAGACTCAGAAAACAGACTCAGACTCAGGCAACAGACTCAGACAACAGACTCAGACAACAGACTCAGACAACAGACTCAAACAGACTCAGACAACAGACTCAGACAACAGACTCTGTGCGGCTGGTTTTAATACTAATCATATATCACACTTGGGGCCAAGACTCAACAGACTCAGACTCAGGCAACAGACTCAGACAACAGACTCAGACAACAGACTCAAACAGACTCAGACAACAGACTCAGACAACAGACTCTGTGCGGCTGGTTTTAATACTAATCATATATCACACTTGGGGCCAAGACTCAACAGACTCAGACTCAGGCAACAGACTCAGACAACAGACTCAGACAACAGACTCAAACAGACTCAGGCAACAGACTCAGGCAACAGACTCAGACAACAGACTCAGACAACAGACTCAGACAACAGACTCAGGCAACAGACTCAGACAACAGACTCAGACAACAGACTCAGACAACAGACTCAGGCAACAGACTCAGGCAACAGACTCAGGCAACAGACTCAGACAACAGACTCAGACAACAGACTCAGGCAACAGACTCAGAAAACAGACTCAGACAACAGACTCAGACAACAGACTCAGGCAACAGACTCAGACTCAGACAACAGACTCAGACAACAGACTCAGACAACAGACTCAGACAACATACTCAGACAACAGACTCAGGCAACAGACTCAGACAACAGACTCAGACAACAGACTCAGACTCAGACAACAGACTCAGACAACAGACTCAGACAACAGACTCAGAAAACAGACTCAGACAACAGACTCAGACAACAGACTCAGACAACAGACTCAGACAACAGACTCAGACAACAGACTCAGAAAACAGACTCAGAAAACAGACTCAGACTCAGACAACAGACTCAGACAACAGACTCAGACTCAGAAAACAGACTCAGACTCAGGCAACAGACTCAGACAACAGACTCAGACAACAGACTCAGACAACAGACTCAAACAGACTCAGACAACAGACTCAGGTAACAGACTCAGACAACAGACTCAGACAACAGACTCAGGCAACAGACTCAGACAACAGACTCAGACAACAGACTCAGGTAACAGACTCAGACAACAGACTCAGAAAACAGACTCAGACAACAGACTCAGAAAACAGACTCAGACTCAGACAACAGACTCAGAAAACAGACTCAGACTCAGACAACAGACTCAGGCAACAGACTCAGACAACAGACTCAGACAACAGACTCAGGCAACAGACTCAGAAAACAGACTCAGACTCAGGCAACAGACTCAGACAACAGACTCTGTGCGGCTGGTTTTAATACTAATCATATATCACACTTGGGGCCAAGATAATTCAGTTACGGGCCGCATCTGGCTCTCGGGCCTTGACTTTGACACATATGTTCTATGCTATTTGGAATAATGCCATTATATAGATTGAGGATTTCAGATGTTTGTAGTTTTATCTCCTCAGACTCAATCTACCAACCTCTTTGACATTAGCAGTAGTCGTGGGAAATGGCAGTGGAGAAGGTCTCGTGATGGATTCGAACCCACGACCTTCAGGACCAATGCTCTACCAGCTGAGCCACTGTCGCTCTCTGATCAAATTGACTTGACTCCTCTCAGATACATGCATTGCTCCAAACGCTCGGCTTATTAGCTCCATATTTGTCACGTTTCGCCGCAGATGCATGTGTTCAGATCTCATTTATGCATCTAAACCCTCCTGTAGCACTGCCTTGTGTTTTGCCAACTCCATAATCCCCCGACGAGGATTTGCCCATAGCTTCTGTGAATCTTTTCCATTTCACCTCGATCTGCTCCAGTGAGTCACACGCCTCCTACACAGCAGCGAGGGATCAAAACCAACAACCTACAGCATTCAAATGCAGCCAGAGCAGACAGGAACATGGCACATTCCTGACATTTCGGAACCTCATCGAAATGGCACTTTTCCAAATACTAAGAGGTGCTCAGTGGCTTTTTACACAAAGGGGTAATAATCACACAACCTCATTCAATGTTAAGCCCATATGCAAATGAGCTCTCTGTGGGGGATTATTCAGATCCATCATGGGTTTGAATGTCACCGTTCACAGCAACACACACGTCTTTATAAGTCAGTTAGAGGTGTGTGTTGATGGTATACACACACAGACACACACACAGACAGACACAAACAGACAGGGCGGCACGGTGGCTGAGTGGATAGCACTCTCGCCTCTCAGCAAGAAGGTCCTGGGTTCGAATCCCGGTCGGACCAGGGCCTTTCTGAGTGGAGTTTGCATGTTCTCCCCGTGTCTGCGTAGGTTTCCTCCGGGTGCTCCGGTTTCCCCTACCACTAAAAATATGTCCAATAGTTCTGGCATGTGCCTCCTGTACTGGCCCCGCTCCCATCTCTGTGTGGAGTGAGAGACAAATGCCCAAAAATAACAATTATAAACCGCTTTGAGACTCAGATCTGCAGTGAAAAGGCGGTATATAAATAAAAACTTACTTACACACACACACATATACAGACAGACACACACACAGACACACACACAGAGACACACACACACACATAGACACACACACAGACAGACACACAGAGACACACACAATATTTTGACCATATACTGTATATCAGGATTGGATAGCCGGCTTAGTTTTAGCCAAATGCGATAGAAGCTGATTTAAAATAAAATAGCTGGAGCCAATTTCCTTATATGGGCATTTTTGATAAGAAGGTGGCCATACTTACGTGCGGAAGCCAGATCCTGTCAGACGTCTGAAGCTAAGCAGGGCAGTGCCTGGTTAGCACTGTGATGGGAGACGTCTGGGAAACAGCAGGTGCCAAAGTGAGGGCGGCTGCGGCTGTAAAGTGCCAAACTGTGGTTGTGTCCTTAGGCAAGACACTTCCCCCACATTAGAATGAGTCTGGTGTGTGTGTGAATGGTTGGTGGTGGAGGTCAGAGGGCCCATATTGATTGCCTTGCCTCTGTCAGTGTGCCCCAGGGCAGCTGTGGCTACAGTAGTAGTTTATCACCACCGTGTATGGAGAGAACAATGATATGAAGAGACTTTGAGAGTCCAGACAAGTGAGATATAAAACCAATGCATTATTATTATTATTATTATTATTATGGCGTAGCAGAGGCATATGAAAACAAACCTGTTGCTAACCACTGCGCCATCACAATATATTCTTAACGTATTTTATTCTTCCCACAGTGGAAAAAAGTTCAGTGTTGCATCACCGCTTACAGAACACCAGGACATACAGCACAATATAAGTGACCAATAACTCTGTACTAAAAACAAACAAAACATCTCTGTCAGCGTAATAGTACCCTGGTCGTACCACACCATAGTACAAATTTCATTTCATACTAAGGTCTGGATTTGCTCCATTGACTCCGTTAACAGGTGGGAGGGGCTAACTCCTTTTGCAGATTGAAACCATTGGATCTGAGTTTACGTCACGTATGTAATGAGCCCGAGTCTGTTGTTAGCATTTAGCATTTAGCCTAGCTTTAGCCATCTCCTTTGCCGCTAACGGAGCCCGTGGGGAGTAGCGCCACAATCTTTGCAGCAATTACATTTACTAAACATTCCTCTTGCTCCGGCTTCAGTTTTTTGATAGAACCAGACCATAATACTATACTATCACATTTTTCACCAAACTACAACCTTCCCGTTCGACGCAAACTCTTGACGTCACTCACATCTAACTACAACACCCGCCTCCCGCACTCGCTAAGGCCATGGTAGCACGATATAGGAGCTAGTATAACATCTCTAACTCTAATCTATTTTATCTAATGTATCTTCCTTGACACTTTTCCATGTTCCAGATTACAATTCAGACATTGTTACAACCCTCGTCTGCCCAGTTTTGTCAATCTTTCAATTCTGGCTTTTGCAAATCCCAAAAAACCCACTTGTTTTGTGTTTTGCGACAGAAAAAGACATCATTACATCTTACCAGTCTATTCCTATCGTCCTCGCCAGCTCCTCGTTTCACTCCAGTCGAGAAATATCAGCCGAAACCTAACAGCAGATATATAATTAAACTTGGAATAAAACATTTTTGGGAGCGAGAATAGCCTTTTGTCGCGGCTCCAGTCTGTAATTGAACTGGATCAAAGTCAGAAGTTTCCATAGTAACAGCAGCAGTGTCTGTGATTGACGGCCTTTGCCCTGATGCTATGACTTCACAACATATAAGTCTATTCTCGCAACAACTCGGTGACATTTTTACGGTCGATACTTGATGTTTGGGTTGAGTTTAGCGTCCCAGGCGAGCGCGGTATGGCTCGGCACACGTCCCTTCGCCCTGTGGTAATGGTCCGTCTGATTCAGCGGCTGGAGATGACTGAGACTTTCTAAAATAAGGTCCTGAATACAAACAATCTCTCACATTGTTCATCGGAAGCTGCAGATTTTGGTTCAGGGGCGATATAATACGTGTGAGGCTCTGAAGTTGGATTCACCTGGTACTGTCCAGGTTGCAGAGGCTAAGCAGGGCAGGGCTTGGTTAGTACTGTGATGGGAGACCTCTGGGAACAGCAGGTAAACTACCACTAGATATTCTCCCCGTGTGTGTGTGTGTGTGTGTGTGTGTGTGTTGCTTCGGGGTGTGTTGTGTGTGTGTGTGTGTGTGAGTTGTTTCGGGGTGTGTGTGTGTGCATACGTGTGTTGTGTGGGGGTGTGTGTGTGTGTTGCTTGGGGGTGTGTTGTGTGTGTGCGTGTGTATATACATGCGTGTGCATCTGTGTTGTGTGTGTGTATGTGTGTGTGTGTGTGTGCGTTGAAATTGATGGTTGGTGGTGGGAGGGGCCGATGGCACAGACTGGTTGCCTCGCTTCTGTCAGTGTGCCCCAGGGCAGCTGTGGCTACAGTAGTTGTCTATCACCACTGTGTTTGGAGAGAGAGAATAACTCTGTGTAGAAAAGTGCTTTATAAAACATATGCATTATTATTGTTAATGTTTTTAATAATAATTTATAGATAGTAGATTATAGATTGTTGCCATAGCTACAGGTGAAGCCAGATCCCGTCAGACCTGAAGCTAAGCAGGAGAGGGCCTGGTTAGTGCTAATGTATAGACAGTAGATTATATTAATGTATGTTTGAATTAAAACTAAATACATTATACTTCTATCTTCTCCTTTTCAACTTTTTAGTTTTAGTTTTTTTCTTTTTACTGGTATTATACAATTCATAATTCTATATCAAGACAACAACAATAACAAATGTGTGGCTGCAGCTTCCAGAATGATCCAAACATCTTCAGTGCAATCACATATTTATGAGTTGGTTTTGAAGCACATGAGAAAATGAACTGTCTTTCCGTCCTGTAGGTGGCGCTGTCTGTGGCGGCGGAGTTCTGGGAGCAGGGAGATCTGGAGCGGACGGTTCTGGAGCAGCAGCCAATCGTAAGCTCTCTCTCTCCTCCGGTTTGAAGTTTGGTGAAGGAGAAAGAACAAGGGCTGAGAGGGAGGACGCAAATCATGGGAATTACGTCGGATCAGACTTTTTTTCCCTCCAGGCTCCAATTTGCTGTGGCTTTTGGGAAGGACACTGAGCAGAGGAGAGAAACAAGACAGGAAGTGGACAAAAGGAGTCAGTCTGTTTAGAGCAGCAGAGTACGACAACGTCTGTGAAATGATTGAAAAGAGCTGCGAAAGAGGAGCTGTCCAAAGCCAAGCGGCCATTTTACTGTCTCTCTATCGAACCTCAAACATACACTCAGACCAATATTTTGCATGCGGCTTTTGGACAAACATTGATACGTTTTCTTTCCGCAACTCCAGGACTCATGCTGTAGATCCAGGACTCAGGCTGTAGACCCAGGACTCAGGCTGTAGACCCAGGACTCAGGCTGTAGACCCAGGACTCAGGCTGTAGACCCAGGACTCAGGCTGTAGATCCAGGACTCAGGCTGTAGACCCAGGACTCATGCTGTAGATCCAGGACTCATGCTGTAGACCCAGGACTCAGGCTGTAGACCCAGGACTCAGGCTGTAGATCCAGGACTCAGGCTGTAGACCCAGGACTCATGCTGTAGACCCAGGACTCAGGCTGTAGACCCAGGACTCATGCTGTAGATCCAGGACTCAGGCTGTAGACCCAGGACTCAGGCTGTAGACCTAGGACTCATGCTGTAGATCCAGGACTCAGGCTGTAGACCCAGGACTCATGCTGTAGATCCAGGACTCAGGCTGTAGACCCAGGACTCATGCTGTAGATCCAGGACTCAGGCTGTAGATCCAGGACTCATGCTGTAGACCCAGGACTCAGGCTGTAGACCCAGGACTCAGGCTGTAGAACAAGGACCGAAGCCATGACATAAAAATACAAGAGGGAACACATTAGTTGAGAACTTTCTGTTTCTTGTCAAAGTAAAAATCTCTAGCCGCGAACACATTTGCAAGTTTTTAAAAGTCCAAAAACAAGTGACAGTGATCCACAATGTCGTATATCATAACTTTAAAGCCGACAGAAGAACAAACGTCTTCCCTTCACTATTGTTAGCTCCTCTCCGTTGGTTTCTCTCTGTGTCAATGTCACTCGTTCCAACCCTCTTCACCTCCTTCTCTCCCTTTGCTCTGTTTTTAATTGTGCCTGTGTCAGGGAAGAAAAACTTCTCATTTTGATCGATCCTCTCTCTGTCTCTGGTGTTTTCACTGCTCTAAAGCTGTGACTCAGTGCCGTTTTGACAAGAAATAAAAATGGTCTCTCTCTCTCTGGTCTCTCTCTGGTCTCTCTCTGGTCTCTCTCTGGTCTCTCTCTGGTCTCTCTCTGGTCTCTCTCTAGTCTCTCTCTGGTCTCTCTCTCGTCTCTCTCTGGTCTCTCTCTGGTCTCTCTGGTCTCTCTCTGGTCTCTCTCTAGTCTCTCTCTGGTCTCTCTGGTCTCTCTCTGGTCTCTCTCTAGTCTCTCTCTGGTCTCTCTCTGGTCTCTCTCTGGTCTCTCTCTGGTCTCTCTCTGGTCTCTCTCTCTGGTCTCTCTCTGGTCTCTCTCTGGTCTCTCTCTCTGGTCTCTCTCTGGTCTCTCTCTCTGGTCTCTCTCTGGTCTCTCTCTCTGGTCTCTCTCTGGTCTCTCTCTGGTCTCTCTCTGGTCTCTCTCTCTGGTCTCTCTCTGGTCTCTCTCTCTGGTCTCTCTCTGGTCTCTCTCTCTGGTCTCTCTCTGGTCTCTCTCTCTGGTCTCTCTCTGGTCTCTCTCTCTGGTCTCTCTCTGGTCTCTCTCTCTGGTCTCTCTCTGGTCTCTCTCTCTGGTCTCTCTCTGGTCTCTCTCTCTGGTCTCTCTCTAGTCTCTCTCTGGTCTCTCTCTCTGGTCTCTCTCTCTGGTCTCTCTCTCTGGTCTCTCTCTGGTCTCTCTCTCTGGTCTCTCTCTGGTCTCTCTCTCTGGTCTCTCTCTGGTCTCTCTCTGGTCTCTCTCTCTGGTCTCTCTCTCTGGTCTCTCTCTGGTCTCTCTCTCTGGTCTCTCTCTGGTCTCTCTCTCTGGTCTCTCTCTCTGGTCTCTCTCTGGTCTCTCTCTCTGGTCTCTCTCTGGACTCTCTCTGGTCTCTCTCTGGTCTCTCTCTGGTCTCTCTCTGGTCCCTCTCTCTGGTCTCTCTCTCTGGTCTCTCTCTGGTCTCTCTCTGGTCTCTCTCTCTGGTCTCTCTCTCTGGTCTCTCTCTCTGGTCTCTCTCTCTCTGGTCTCTCTCTGGTCTCTCTCTGGTCTCTCTCTCTGGTCTCTCTCTGGTCTCTCTCTCTGGTCTCTCTCTGGTCTCTCTCTGGTCTCTCTCTCTGGTCTCTCTCTCTGGTCTCTCTCTCTGGTCTCTCTCTGGTCTCTCTCTCTGGTCTCTCTCTGGTCTCTCTCTCTGGTCTCTCTCTCTGGTCTCTCTCTGGTCTCTCTCTGGTCTCTCTCTCTGGTCTCTCTCTCTGGTCTCTCTCTGGTCTCTCTCTGGTCTCTCTGTTCTCTCTCTCTGGTCTCTCTCTGTTCTCTCACTGGTCTCTCTCTGTTCTCTCTCACTGGTCTCTCTCTCTGGTCTCTCTGTTCTCTCTCTTTGGTCTCTCTCTGGTCTCTCTCTCTGGTCTCTCTCTCTGGTCTCTCTCTGGTCTCTCTCTGGTCTCTCTGTTCTCTCTCTCTGGTCTCTCTCTGGTCTCTCTCTCTGGTCTCTCTCTCTGGTCTCTCTCTGGTCTCTCTCTGGTCTCTCTCTGGTCTCTCTCTCTGGTCTCTCTCTCTGGTCTCTCTCTGGTCTCTCTCTGGTCTCTCTGTTCTCTCTCTCTGGTCTCTCTCTGGTCTCTCTCTGGTCTCTCTCTCTGGTCTCTCTCTCTCTGGTCTCTCTCTGGTCTCTCTCTCTGGTCTCTCTCTCTGGTCTCTCTCTCTGGTCTCTCTCTGGTCTCTCTCTCTGGTCTCTCTCTGGTCTCTCTCTCTGGTCTCTCTCTCTGGTCTCTCTCTGGTCTCTCTCTGGTCTCTCTGTTCTCTCTCTCTGGTCTCTCACTGGTCTCTCTCTGTTCTCTCTCACTGGTCTCTCTCTCTGGTCTCTCACTGGTCTCTCTCTTTGGTCTCTCTCTGGTCTTTCTCTGGTCTCTCTTTGGTCTCTCTCTGGTCTTTCACTGGTCTCTCTCTCTGGTCTCTCACTGGTCTCTCTCTCTGGTCTCTCTCTCTGGTCTCTCTCTGGTCTTTCTCTGGTATCTCTCTCTGGTCTCTCTCTGGTCTTTCACTGGTCTCTCTCTCTGGTCTCTCTCACTGGTCTTTCACTGGTCTCTCTCTCTGGTCTCTCTCTCTGGTCTCTCTCACTGGTCTCTCTCTGGTCTCTCTCTCTGGTCTCTCTCTCTGGTCTCTCTCACTGGTCTTTCACTGGTCTCTCTCTCTGGTCTCTCTCTGGTCTCTTTCTCTGATCTCTCTCTCTGGTCTCTCTCTCTGGTCTTTCTCACTGGTCTCTCTCTGACTTCTCTGTCTGGTCTCTCTCTCTGTAGTCTCTGTAGTTTCACTTTCAATTTCCACTACTGCTGTTAAAGGCAGAATGATGTTGGTTCTTTCCCGCCTTTGGCCTGAGGAGGATGTTGTTGAGGAAGTGGTTCTACGACAGGGGGTCGCGTGTGTTGTGTTCTAAAGTTACTCTGCCCCCTACTGGTCACAAGCTAGAACTGCATTGTTTTCCATCGCCGTAGACTCTGCGCACTTAAAATGTATTATTGTTATTGTTATTATTATTATTTCATTTCCCTGCAGGGATCGATAAAGTACACCTCAACCTTAACTTGAGGCTTGAATCCAAAACTAATGCTAATGCTAATGCTAATGTTAATGCTAATGCTAATGCTAATGTTAATGCTAATACTAATGCTAATACTAATGCTAATACTAATGTTGTGTATCTTGTGTCTTCCAGCCCATGATGGACAGAAACAAAGCTGATGATCTGCCCAAACTGCAGTGTGGTTTCATCGACTTTGTCTGTGCTTTTGTTTACAAGGTGAGGGTCCACACCATCACTGAATACTCAAACTCAAACCCTGAAGTTACTGTAACTGCGTGAAAGACTCGGCTTTGACCTCGAGCGCCTGTCATTTGTAAAGCGTTGATGGTGCAGGACCTGGCGCCATCTGCTCCCACTGCTTTTAGCTTCAATCAAAACTACCTCGACCTCGACCCTGACTTTCTCTCGCTCACGTTGACGTTGAAGGGATTTCATTTGCGTCTGGATCTCTGCAGGAGTTCAGCCGCTTCCACGTCGAGATCACCCCGATGCTGGAGCGGCTGCTGAACAACCGCAAAGAGTGGAACGCCCTGAAGGAGGTGCACGAGGCTAAACTGGCCGCCATCGAGGAGGAGAAGAAGGCCAAGGAGGAGGCGGCCCAGAAGGCAGCAGCAGCGAGGCAGGGTAAGACCCCGAGAGCATGTCAAACTCAGGCCCAAGGGCCACATACGGCCCCTGAGACCATTTCTAGTGGCCCCTGAAATGATTTGCAATTATCATTATTACAGTAAGCATAGTGGTAATCAGCTACTATGGCATGTTATACTTCATTTTAAAGCCTTTTGCGTCAGGAAAACGACCATATGATTATACTTGCTCCAAAATGTCTTATGTTTTTTCATAAGATATTACCACAAAAACTGTAGCCAAACCTACTAGAAAATAACGTCCAAAGTTACAAAACTATGTAAGAAAAAATGTTATAATTGTTATTTATTATTATTATTAATGGTAATGATGATAATAGTAAAAAGATTTTGTTCCCAACCTGCTCTTATGTTGTTACGCTTGGCCCCCAGACACAATAAAGGCACACACACAACTATAAATACACAACGGCAACAGGGATAAAAACATTCTTAAATCTGTTAGTCCTACATTTAGTGGAGCTATATCTGCGGCCTAATGGAAGTAACTTTAACTCTGTCCACAGTGGGTCTGTAGTACCCTGGTCTTACCACACCATCGTACTCATTTCATTTCTTACTAAGGTCTGGATCCTTTTGCAGATTGAAACGATTGGATCTGAGTTTACTGTGACGTTTGTAATGAGTGAGTGAGGCATTTAGCATTTAGCCTAGCTTTAGCATTTAGCCTAGCTTTAGCCATCTCCTTTGCCACTAACGGAGCCCGTGGGGAGTAGAGCCACAACATTTTTGCCTCAATGACATTTACTAAACATTCCTCTTGCTCCGGCTTCAGTTTCTTGATATTTGGATTGAACCAGAACAGATTATTTTACTATCGCATTCTCCGACAAACTACAACCAGCAAATTCAGCACAAACTCTTGACGTCACCGACACCGACCTACAACACCCGCCTCCCCCGCTCTCTGATTGGTCGGAGGGGATTCAACCGAGGAAACTGCAGCCACTAGGATCAGACCCAGACGTACATGTAGGAAATGATCATGGACCAGAGTTTACACATGGTAAGACCAGACGTACATGTAGGAGATGATCATGGACCAGAGTTTACACATGGTAAGACCAGACGTACATGTAGGAGATGATCATGGACCAGAGTTTACACATGGTAAGACCAGACGTACATGTAGGAAATGACCATGGACCAGAGTTTACACATGGTAAGACCAGACACATGTAGGAAATGATCATGGACCAGAGTTTACACATGGTAAGACCAGACGTACATGTAGGAAATGACCATGGACCAGAGTTTACACATGGTAAGACCAGACGTACATGTAGGAGATGATCATGGACCAGAGTTTACACATGGTAAGACCAGACGTACATGTAGGAAATGATCATGGACCAGAGTTTACACATGGTAAGACCAGACGTACATGTAGGAGATGATCATGGACCAGAGTTTACACATGGTAAGACCAGACGTACATGTAGGAAATGACCATGGACCAGAGTTTACACATGGTAAGACCAGACGTACATGTAGGAAATGATCATGGACCAGAGTTTACACATGGTAAGACCAGACGTACATGTAGGAGATGATCATGGACCAGAGTTTACACATGGTAAGACCAGACGTACATGTAGGAGATGATCATGGACCAGAGTTTACACATGGTAAGACCAGACGTACATGTAGGAAATGATCATGGGCCAGAGTTTACACATGGTAAGACCAGACGTACATGTAGGAAATGATCATGGACCAGAGTTTACACATGGTAAGACCAGACGTACATGTAGGAGATGATCATGGACCAGAGTTTACACATGGTAAGACCAGACGTACATGTAGGAAATGATCATGGACCAGAGTTTACACATGGTAAGACCAGACGTACATGTAGGAAATGATCATGGACCAGAGTTTACACATGGTAAGACCAGACGTACATGTAGGAGATGACCATGGACCAGAGTTTACACATGGTAAGACCAGACGTACATGTAGGAAATGATCATGGACCAGAGTTTACACATGGTAAGACCAGGGTAGGTCAGTCGATTTCTGCTGGGCTCCTTCTAGAATCAGACTGAATGACTGACTCGATGTAAACCACATCGAGGCTCAGTCCTGTTTGATTATGTGCTATATAAATAACCTTTCTTCTTCTTCTGTCCATCTCTCGCTGCTTCCTTCTCCGTTGGCTCCTCCTTCAGCCGAGGCTTCTCAATCGAAGACCTGCGTCCTCAGCTGAAGACGCTCCTCTCCGACTCTTCACGTCTCTTTCCGCTTTTACTTTTCTTTTGTTTAGAAATAATAAGTTTACATCAGGCTTATTCAACATTTGTCCCAGAGGCCGAATCAGACCCTCCTCATTCTGTTATACAAATATTAATAATAACTAATTAATATTATTGAGGCTTAGTCCAAAATATTCCACCCCTGGGACAAATAAGTTGAATATCTCTGGTTTTCAGTTAAATCAGAGGTCATTGAGTGCAACAGTGACTCCTAAGCTAACTAAAGCTAACTAAAGCTAACTAAAGCTAACTAAAGCTAACCAAAGCTATCCTAAGCTAATTAAAGCTTACCCAAACTAACTAAAGCTGACCTAAGCTAACTAAAGCTAACCAAAGCTAACTAGAGCTAACCAAAGCTAACTTAAGCAAACCAAAGCCAACTAAAGCTAACCAAAGCTAACCATGCTTTTTACGGTTCTCCTTTTCCTCCAAGTGTTTAATGCAGTGATCAATACATGTTTGAGGTAACCTCTATTTACATTTATTACGGTTGCCGTTGGTAACAACCAATGTTTTTCTTTCTGCTGAATATTCTTTAGCACCGTTTCCACCAGCTCTACCCTACCCTACCCTACCCTACTCTACCCTACCCTACCCTACCCTACTCTACTCTACTCTACTCTACTCTACTCTACTCTACTCTACTCTACTCTACTCTACTCTACTCTACTCTACTCTACTCTACTCTACTCTACTCTACTCTACTCTACTCTACTCTACTCTACTCTACTCTACTCTACTCTACTCTACTCTACTCTACTCTACTGGTTTGTTGTGGGTGGGTTGCTAGGATACGATACCAGATACTAAAAAGGTAATGGAAACGCACCCAGGTAGAGCAGAGCCGAGTAGAGTGGGGCCGGTGGAAACAGGGCTTTTTTTCTCTATTAGTTTGCGTTATATTTGTGGTTATTTCATGTAGAGAAGAAGTCAGAGGGACATATTGATTGTTTTAGGCCGTTTTATTAAAAGTTTACAGATCTATAATGAATATACGTCTTTATTATTATACGTCTGAGTTCAGGAAATCCCCTTGAGACTCAGAATCTAATTTTCGAGTCGTCCCAGAAGATGGCGGCTCCTTCTGTTGGTATGAAAACCTAATCACTGATGCATGCATTTCATCAGGGACGCAACAATATGGCTTCATTCTGACATCCAAAGCATTTCCATTCATTTGATGCAGAGATAAAACAAAGCAATAATAAATCTAAATCTGTTATAAATATCAAATCACACTCTTCTCTGTTCGGTCACTGCATAATCTGTCTTTAATGATTCCCTTCTTCTATCCTTTGTATGTACGAAATGTGTAAAAATACTATGCAATATTCGGTCAATTAAACATGCTAGTTATGTACTTTTGGCTAATGACTTTTGGACTACTAACTTTGACTTTATACTTGCATTTACAGTTATTAAAGAAGCATTACCGCTGTTTACTTTGTGTGCTCCTTGTGTGCTCTCACTGCTTAATTCAATTCAATTTTGTACAGCCCTAAATCACAACAGTTTTAACGCGGAGGACTTTACAAAGCTGTCGATTCACCAACGCAGATCAGAGAATCATAACTGCCTCACTCCACAGTCCACACTAAACTCTACTAATTTGTTTGGATCAATGACAGAAAAAAGGTTCGAAATGTCTGCGGATGCTGAATGTTCACCGACTGTTATGTAGTTCCTTGTTTGTCCAGTGGAGGGCGCTCTACTTAAACACAGATTTGTTCACACTGTACTATTAAAAGCTGCAGACGTTTTGGACGTAACAAATGGACGAAGTGTTACGTCCAAAAAGCCCAGTTTGTTGCAGTTATTGAATAATATTTGTTTTCATATGTATAATCTATAATTACAGATTTATTCTAATTTATTCCCAAACATTACCCATTCAATAGTCTCTGTCCTTGTCATTCTTTCATTCACAAAGTCTCCAACACGACATGTACTAAATGTAACTGTTATGTCCCAAATTTCTCCGTTGTGATTTACCTGATCTTATCTTGTCCTGACTCTGGGACCAGCAGGAGGCCAGTCCCTGTGCTCCTCAGAGTCCCAGCAGGAGGCCAGTCCCTGTGCTCCTCAGAGTCCCAGCAGGAGGCCAGTCCCTGTGCTCCTCAGAGTCCCAGCAGGAGTCCAGTCCCTGTGCTCCTCAGAGTCCCAGCAGGAGGCCAGTCCCTGCGCTCCTCAGAGTCCCAGCAGGAGGCCAGTCCCTGCGCTCCTCAGAGTCCCAGCAGGAGGCCAGTCCCTGTGCTCCTAGAGTCCCAGCAGGAGGCCAGTCCCTGTGCTCCTCAGAGTCCCAGCAGGAGGCCAGTCCCTGTGCTCCTCAGAGTCCCAGCAGGAGGCCAGTCCCTGTGCTCCTCAGAGTCCCAGCAGGAGGCCAGTCCCTGTGCTCCTCAGAGTCCCAGCAGGAGGCCAGTCCCTGTGCTCCTCAGAGTCCCAGCAGGAGGCCAGTCCCTGTGCTCCTCAGAGTCCCAGCAGGAGGCCAGTCCCTGTGCTCCTCAGAGTCCCAGCAGGAGGCCAGTCCCTGTGCTCCTCAGAGTCCCAGCAGGAGGCCAGTCCCTGTGCTCCTCAGAGTCCCAGCAGGAGGCCAGTCCCTGTGCTCCTCAGAGTCCCAGCAGGAGGCCAGTCCCTGTGCTCCTCAGAGTCCCAGCAGGAGGCCAGTCCCCTGTGATCCTCAGAGTCCCAGCAGGAGGCCAGTCCCTGCGCTCCTCAGAGTCCCAGCAGGAGGCCAGTCCCTGTGCTCCTCAGAGTCTCAGCAGGAGCCAGTCCCTGTGCTCCTCAGAGTCCCAGCAGGAGGCCAGTCCCTGTGCTCCTCAGAGTCCCAGCAGGAGGCCAGTCCCTGTGCTCCTCAGAGTCCCAGCAGGAGGCCAGTCCCTGTGATCCGCAGAGTCCCAGCAGAAGGCCAGGTCTAAATGACTTGATTATATTTAAAAACATACATTTAAAGTATTATTTACTTATTTCTTAAACATTTTGGAGAATGTTTTTCTTAAAATACAGCATCACAAACTTATTTGATCTGAAATAGAAAAGTCTGAAAATAAGAAATAATACTTAAACAACAAAATTAAAAACTCATTTCTCTAATAAGATTGTTTTGTAAAGAGTATTATTATTTTAAAATTATTAAAATAATCTTATGACAAACTACATTCAAGCAAAACAAAGTTGCCATTCAAAAATAAGCATAATTTTGTTAATTTTAGTAAATAAATCTGACCAAGGCTTTACTTTTTTCAGTGAAGCTCAACGTTTCGGGACTAAATGAACAAAATGACAGTTTGATATTTGTTCTTTAACCCGAGCAGACGACGACACCATGAATGAACCATGAATGAACCATGAATGAACCATAAATGAACCATGAATGAACCATGAATGAACCATAAATGAACCATGAATGAACCATGAATGAACCATGAATGAACCATGAGTGTGTTTCTGCCTCGTCTGTGGAGCCGACTCAGGATTATGGATTAAAACAATCTTCATCAGAAGTGCTCCGTTTGTGCAGAGATAGTGTCGCGTTGTTATTGTTGCGTTTTTAGTCTCACGTGAACTTTGGCGTAACTTAGAAAAGATGCGACGTGTTTCGGTTTTATGTAACGTACTTTCTGGACTAATAGATTTAACGTCAACATTTGAAAAGAAAATCCGTGTTTTCAATTCAATGTATTGTTCTGTAGCTTTAAAGAAGCTACACCCAATTTATTTTCTAATTGAGGCCTTAAAAAAGTGTTGAGTAGAGACTTAGCGTGACGCCCGCTCTCCTCCAATCACAGAACAGGCTGCGTCCTCTAGCCTCTACAGCGCTGCTAAACACAGTAGCATGTTAGCATCAGTGGCTATAACTCCTCTGGCTGTAACTGCAGACACAGCAAAACAGCCCAAACCACACAACAGTGAGGAAGAGAAGAGGAACTAAAGCCACAACATGATCAAAGAAGAAACCAAGCCCTGAACAGAGCTAGCTTACATCGTATCCTCTGGAGAGACTGGTCTGAGGGAGAGACCTGCGGGACCGCCTCGGACTATCTACGCTCGGACCATCTACGCTCGGACCATCTACTCTCGGACCATCTACGCTCGGACCATCTACGCTCGGACCATCTGCGCTCGGACTATCTACGCTCGGACTATCTACGCTCGGACTATCTACGCTCGGACCATCTACGCTCGGACCATCTACGCTCGGACCATCTACGCTCGGACCATCTGCGCTCGGACCATCTACGCTCGGACCATCTACGCTCGGACTATCTACGCTCGGACTATCTACGCTCGGACTATCTACGCTCGGACTATCTACGCTCGGACTATCTACGCTCGGACTATCTATGCTCAGACTACATTCGGACGTGAAACTAGCGGTAATCTTTCAGTTATATATTGTGTTATCAGTGCGTTGCTTTTGTACCATTTCATCAGTGATTGTTGCACAGCTTAAGTTGTGCTAATGCTAATGTCGATAATAATAACTGGATAGGGTAGTACTAGCTTACAGCTGTCCCACCCATGGCCACAGGGGGCGCTGTGGTACTGCAGACTAAATTCACGTGGGCTACCCAGAAAAAAGTCCCATAGAACTCAATGTAAACTAAAACAGCTCGACCTCAGCTGACAGAGAACCTGACAGAGAACCTGACAGAGAACCTGACAGAGAACCTGACAGAGAACCTGACAGAGAACCTGACAGAGAACCTGACAGAGAACCTGACAGAGAACCTGACAGAGAACCTGACAGAGAAGTAATAGTAGTAGTAGTAATCTTTATTTATATAGCGCCTTTCACAGACCAGAGTCACAAAGCGGTTTACAATTGTTATTATTTTTTGGGCACTTGTCCTCTCACTCCACACAGAGATGCACATGCCAGACCTATTGGACATATTTTTAGTGGTAGGGGAAACCGGAGTACCCGGAGGAAACCTACGCAGACACGGGGAGAACA